TCCGGCAAATGGATCTTCGGCGGATTTGAGCTGGCCGGGTTGGCCCATTTACCGACGAGCGTCTAGCTTCGGTCTGCAATGAAATTGTGATCGGAGAAGGGAAGATCAGGCGGAGACGAAAGAGCGGGAGGGAAATATGGTGCACAGTGCCTATGATTCCTTTGAGCTCCTCCGAGGCTGTCCGACGAAAATCGATGCCGTCGCGTCCTACGCTTCGAAGCTCTTCCTCGGCTGCACCGATGGCGCGCTACGAGTCTACGCCGCCGAATCCGATCGATCTTCTTCGTCGTCGGATTACCTCGGTCAAGCGCAAGAACTTCGGAAGGAAGGATACGCCCTGGAGAGGACAGTGAACGGATTTTCCAAGAAGACTCTGCTGTCAATGGAGGTACTGGCATCGCGGGAGCTGCTCCTCTCGCTCTCTGAGTCGATCGCTTTCCACCGGCTCCCTAATTTGGAGACTTTCGCTGTGATCACCAAGGCCAAAGGCGCCAATGTTTACTCCTGGGATGATCGCAGAGGCTATCTCTGCTTCGCGAGGCAGAAGCGAGTCTGTATCATCCGCCACGATGGTGAGTTCTCTCGTCTTCTATTCCAGAGCTGCTGCTGCAATTCTGGTGCTTCATTTCTTCTTCTTGAACTGAAATTTGAAAGTTGTTCTTCAGCAGGACGAGGATTCGTGGAGGTGAAAGAATTTGGAGTGCCTGACACGGTGAAGTCGATGGCCTGGTGTGGCGAGAACATATGTATTGGAATTAAGAAGGAATACGCGATACTGAACGCCACTAGTGGTGCATTGAGCGAGGTGTTTCCTTCTGGTAGACTGGCTCCGCCTATGGTCGTCTCTCTTCCTTCGGGAGAACTTCTTCTTGGCAAGGTGCCCTCCAACTGTTCGATGAATTGCTTCCTTTCCGTTATCGTTTGCAGTTATCACCTGTGAATGACAGTTAAAAGTTATCACTTACGATACAGGAGAATATTGGAGTATTTGTGGACCAAAATGGCAAGCTTCATCAAGCTGAAAGGATTTGTTGGTCGGAAGCTCCCTCTGTTGTTGTGATTCAGAAACCGTATGCTATTGCCCTGCTCCCAAGACGTGTTGAGGTAGTTGCCTAGACCATCATGCACTATGCCGGAGAAGTTCCTGTCCTCTTTATTTCTGTCCAGAGATGGTCTTCCTGACGATGTTCTATAAAATGAATGCAGATAAGGTCTCTTCGAGTCCCATACCCAATGATTCAGACCATTGTTCTTCAGAATGTTCGTCGTCTTGTTCAGAGCAATAATGCAGTAATTGTTGCGCTAGATAATTCTGTGCATGGACTCTTCCCTGTTCCTGTTGGTGCACAGGTATATATTGTACCCCTTTGTTTTTTGTATAGAATATTCTTGACTGGTAGTTTCTAGGTTAATTGTTGTGATGACTGGTAAGTGAGTATAAAAAATACAGTCTAGAGGGAAGAAAGATTATTGAATTCTGGAATCAAGTTGACGCTGCTGGATCATCTTCGACATTTTCGATTATGTATTTACTTTCAGAGCTCATACAAACTTGATTTGATACTTTGACATTGCACTTCAGTAAATTTTACTATGACTATGGTGCAGATCGTGCAATTAACAGCATCTGGAAATTTTGAAGAAGCTTTGGCATTGTGCAAGTTACTTCCTCCAGAAGATGCAAGCCTTCGAGCTGCAAAGGAGGCATCCATTCATATAAGGTAGATGTTTACCAAAATTGACTGATGAACTATTTGCATCACTTAGTTCTCACTTCTATGAATTGATATGTTTCTTCGCTATCATAAGGCTTGGTCTAGCAAGTGGATTTTCATTTTATACGTATGATTTTCTGTGTGGCATGTAATATTAGCCAAACTCTAGTAATTTTTCCTTCGAAGTCCTATTATGATTTTTCTTCAAACAAGTTGCTGATAGGGGTTTCACTTTCCACAGATATGCCCACCATCTTTTTGATAATGGGAGTTATGAGGATGCTATGGAGCACTTTTTAGCTTCCCAAGTAGATATCACCTATGTACTTTCTATGTATCCGTCAATAGTTCTTCCCAAAACAACTTTGGTTCCTGAAATGGACAAGGTAGTGGACAGTTATCCAGATGCTATGCATCTGTCAAGAGGTTCTTCTGGTGCATCAGATGATATGGATCCCTCGTCTGCTTCACATTTTGGCGATTTTGATGAGCATTCCGCACTTGAGTCCAAGAAGATGAGCCATAATACTCTCATGGCTCTAATCAAATACTTACAGAAACGCAGATACAGTGTAATTGAAAAGGCTACTGCCGAGGGGACAGAGGAGGTTGTTTTAGGTGCAGTTGGTGATAATTACGGACATTACGACTCCAGTAGGGTCAAAAAGTCTGGCAAGGTAGAAACTGATCCTTTTGAGTTTTGAATGAGGAGTCAACTCACATATATTACAGCTACAATGCCTATAAATTGTATATATATTCTTGAAGGACAATAACGGTGACTCTAGGAAGTTCACTTTTGAAAAGAAAAGTAACTATATTTGATGCTTCTGTTCCACTTGATTTCTCGTACGATCTGACACTGTTTATGATTAGGGGCGTGGTAATGTCGCCATTAATTCAGGAGCTAGAGAAATTGCTGCTATCCTGGATACTGCACTACTCCAAGCACTTCTGCTTACTGGACAGTCTTCAGCTGCCGTAGAATTGCTCCGAGGCCATAATTATTGTGATCTGAAAATATGTGAGGAGAGTCTTCAAAAGAGACATCACTATTCTGCTTTGCTGGAGCTTTATCGAAGTAATGCCATGCACCGTGAAGCTCTGAAGCTTCTGCATCAATTAGTCCAAGAGTCAAACTCAGGCCAATCTGAGGTTATGCATAAGTTCAAGCCTGAGGACATTCTAGAATATCTCAAGGTATCTTTAATTTCTACTCTGTGGGAGTCTTTTTCGTGGTGTTAGTACTCTTCTTTGGTTGCAGGTAGTACTCTTCTTTTGCTAAAAGTATCTGAGGGAGTCTTTTTCGTGGTGATTCTTATGCAGCCTCTCTGTGGAACAGATCCTATGCTTGTTCTAGAGTTCTCAATGATCATTCTAGAAAGGTGTCCAACACAAACAATTGAGCTGTTTTTATCTGGGAATATACCTGCAGATTTGGTCAACTCTTATCTGAAGCAGCATGCTCCAAACATGCAAGGAAGGTATCTAGAACTGATGCTCGCAATGAATGAAAGTGCCATATCAGGAAACCTGCAAAATGAAATGGTAACTTGCCCTTGCTTTTGGTATGTAGATATAATTTTTTCTATGTGTGCTCTTACTGGACGTGTCCAAATAAAATGTAACCTTGGGTTGAATTTTGAATCATATCACTCAATGCCACTCTATCATTTATCACAGGTGCAAATCTATCTCTCTGAAGTTCTTGATTTGCATGCGGAATTAACTTCCCAAAAGAAATGGGACGAGAAGGCTCATTCCCCGACGAGGAAAAAGTTATTATCTGCTCTAGAAGGCATATCAGGATATAACCCTGAGGCTTTATTGAAGCGTCTTCCTCCTGATGCATTGTATGAAGAAAGTGCAGTTTTATTAGGAAAGATGAACCAGCATGAACTTGCCTTATCCCTCTATGTACATAAGGTAATGATGGTATTTATATGAATGGCTGATTATATTACACATGAAAGCTATAGATAAGCCTTTGCCCTTGATGTAATCATTTCTCTCGCTGAGTATATTGATCAATACTGAAGTCTTTTACCATCTAAACTTGTTCATCCATTTCTCTGATCTGCAGTCCATGAGCCAACTAAAGTTACTTTTTTCCCCTGTATCAGCTTCATCTACCTGATCTGGCATTGTCCTACTGTGATCGCATTTATGAGTCTGCAACTCCACAACCTTCTACTACAAATTCTGGCAGTATATACCTCACGCTTCTACAAATCTATCTTAATCCCAGTAAGACAACCAAGAACTTTGAGAAGCGAATCACAAATATAGTAGCTTCTCGGAGCACCAGCATCCCTAAGGCCAGTTCTGTGAGTGGAACCAAGACTAAAGGTGGCCGTGGAGCGAAGAAAATTGCTGCAATAGAAATTGCAGATGACTTGCGTATGAGTCCAAGTGGCACTGATAGCAGCAAGAGCGATGGCGATACAGACGAAATTAATCAGGAAGGCAGTTCTACCATAATGCTTGATGAGGTGCTTGATCTCTTGAGCAAAAGGTGGGACCGAATAAATGGTGCCCAAGCCCTCAGACTTTTACCCAGGCAAACTAACTTACAGGTAATAATTTTACCAGAAAGGAGCTATGTTCTTGGATACCTAAAGCTTAGAGCTGCCCTCTACTTCATGCGAGGCCTGAGAAATGTAGATTAACTCAATTTTTTTTTGTTCTATGCAGAACTTGCTGCCGTTTCTTGGACCTCTACTGAGGAAATCAAGTGAAGCGAACCGGAACCTTTCAGTAATCAAGAGTTTGAGACAGAGTGAGAACCTGCAGGTATCAATGACATGACATCCTACATATAATTGTCTTGATGCCATATGTATAGCCCGAAATGACCACTTGAGAATGTTGAATATATCAAGCCCGTTAACATATTAAGGCCACTGACTAAGCTATGGCCTATTATGTGGTGAACCAGGTAAAAGACGAGCTGTACAAGTATAGAAAAACAGTCGTGAAGATCAGCAGCGACAGCATGTGCTCCCTTTGCAACAAGAAGATCGGAACAAGTGTGTTTGCTGTCTATCCCAACGGGAAAACAATCGTCCATTTCGTTTGTTTCCGGGACTCCCAAAGTATGAAGGCCGTCACTAAAGGTACAACACCACCTCCTAGAAAGTGGTGACATATTTTTTTTCAGACAGGATGTTTCACGACATCAGCAGAAAACCGCTGATACATCATCAGCTTTGAGATGGTAAATACCGGAGAGTGCATTGCCCTTCACATGAAACTGCTTTTTCGGCCTGTGAGAGAACGATACTGAATTGGCACGCTTCGAGATGCTTGTTCTTCAAGGGCTTGTTGGTTATCAATTTCTAAGTTTGATGGCTTTATCGGTGTGGGGGAAGTTTACTTGCCTGTGTTGTATGTCTTGCAGAGTTTGTTCCTTCGATTTCCGTTCTTCTGAGTGAAGTCCCCATTGACAAAACGAATGGCATAGTGTTGTTGATAGATCGATATACGTTTTGTTTGTACTTACGTGCTTGTGCAAATGCAAATTTCTGTGAGCGGCATCCAAAATACTAGCTTTTTACCCGGCCCGTTGGCCGGAGAGATTTATTAATCATTTTGGATCTTCTAAATATTTTATAACAGAGTTTGTAGTATGTCTATATTGAAATTGCCAATATTTAGCACACTCACTTGTAATGCTTCGGTTTTTGAATCATAAATTATGTCGCTGTCACGTCCCATTTAGAACTTATGTCAAAATTTGTCAACCAAAACACTAATATTTAGCGTACGCCAACCTGAACCACACACACATATATATAGTTCAAGCTAGCGTGCGCCAGGAGTACGCTAGACTCTTGTGTTCATACTACCATACGAACATTGAGTTTTACTATTTAGACCCGAATTAACTGGAGTTTTTTTGGGTCATGATACTATACCCTAACCTCTAATAGGTGAACTCTAGTCCCTAATTCTGTAACCTCTAATTTATGCACATACTTCGTAATTCCTATCTTCTATCGTATCTTGAGTTAAATAAAGTATAGTATACATTGATATTACATATACATGTATATATATGTGTGTATATGTATATTAGACTCAAAATTATCTAGAGATCTTGCTTTTACCCCCATAACGCCAGACAACCATTGGGGTTGTCTATCGTTCGATATGTAATATATAAAGAGGCAAATACTAAGATCCTACTATTTATTTCTTATCCTCTCCCACTATCCCCTTTATGGAGAATAAAAAGGTAGGGATGACAGGATCATAGCTCAATATGGTTTTATTATGTTCATCGTATTGGAGGTTATGTTCTTTTTGCTTTTTTTGGCTTCTTTTTCATTCTACTTTATTACCTATGGTTGGGATAACCGGATAAGAGGTATTTAGCCCTCGAAAGGGTTGGGAATCCAATACACATTCATGATCCTCGAGTTTGGACGAACTCTCGACCAATGTTGTAAAAATTACGACTTTTTAGTGAGAATTCTTAGTAAAGATACTTCATTATCGGATTTATTCATCCATATTGAAACTGACACACACGGTAGCCCTCATGATGACTAAATTCTCTAATATCGACTCATTTTCATTTTTGGATGTTTGTTTTTTTATCCAGACACTTAAATTTAGTATATTATACAATATGTATCAATTGTTAATTCTTGAAGTATATACTAAACCTCAATCGTTGGTCATTGTTTATATGTTGGCTTAGAATCTCAATCTAAGGCACTCACATACACTATCGAGGATTTTGGTCTTAAAATGATCGTTGAATGTGTAATTTTCAAAGATTTTATCACTTATATTTAATAATTGATAAGAGTGTCTCCATACACAAATATTTTAAGTGCATTTAAAATGTCTTATCATTTGAACAATATCAGTGTATTTCATTTGATTATTTGCATTAACTTATTATCTTATACAACATATATTAATTCGTGTTTCTCGAGTCTAGACGAACTGACAACCAATTTAGAGAGTTGAGATTATTGGATAAATATACTTGATTCCTGGAAAAATATTTTTATCCCAATTGACGATCTTACTAAAAATTACCAAACCTTTATTTGGTAAATGCCTATGTCAGTAGTTGATGAACGTGATGTTTATCGTAGATTCTGAACAAAGATTTTTCTAACCTTCACATATATTATTTTTCAAGAATTTTGTGTCTCATCCTAGGGTATGAAGTCAAAGTTCGTCAACAATCATACTTAAGTCATTTTGAAAATTTTGATTTATAATCTTCGAAGAAAACTCCAAGTCTGAAAGAATATTTCTTAGCATACGACTTAGAACATCAATAGTGCTTGCTCAATCAACAGGATATAGAGCAAATATTATTAATGTGAACTTAGGTCACATTATCAAATTATTGCATATGCGATTCCTCTTCATTTGAGGAATTTAAGGTAGAACATGATCTGAATGAATAAGAATTTTTTTTAAATAAATAACTGTAACTACTCGATCAAGATTATACTCTGACATTTTTCTGATAATACAGTTTTATTTTATAGATATATACTGTACGAATAAGAGAGTGTTTCATTGTAACAAAATATAAAGTAATATAGTTTATTTTTCAAAGGTAATTGAATGTCAAATGTTTATTTCTCTCTTTTCATATATATTTTGGTTTAATCGATTAAAACATAATTGTTTATATGTATGTTTGTTCATCAAAATATAACTTATCATTGAATTTTAGTAAAAAATGAGTAGAAATTTTATTTCATAAGGTTTAATCATATATTTTTTATTTAAATAAATGTGATATATGTCACTCTCTGTTTTCTTATTTATATTTTATTTATTTAACAAAAAAATTATTATTTATGTGTGTTTGGTTAAGTTTATCAACATGTAACTTATTATTAAAGAAAAAAATTAATGATAAATGGAAAAGAATAATCGGATAAAAGAAATGGAAATATTAAAGAAGAGAGAGGTAGCTCCATAAATACATTAATAACTAATTTTTTTGTTTGTAAAAAGTTGTCAAACTTGGCAAATTGTGGATCCTCCAAGTGCTTATGTGGCAAGAAATTTTTTTTGAATTGCCATAATATATAGTATAGATAGATAGATAGATAGATAGATGGTACCGTTTCAGGACTGATATTTTGTTACCAAACAACGCAATAGAAGCACAATGAAATGTTTATAACCATCTATCCATCATACGCCTGCCCTTGCAGGAGCTAGTTTCTCGTTTCTTGGCCCCCTGGCCGTAAAACGGCAGACAGTGACTCGATTCTGCACCCCGCATTGGGACTGTCCAGTGTCCACATAAATTGCCTCCACATAGGGATTGGCAATGGGTCGGGTTGGGTCGGGTTTTGCCAAACCCAAACCCAAACCCATGGGTTTATCTTTGAAAAAACCCGGGGTAAAACCCACTGGGTTTGAAAAACTCAAACCCAACCCAACCCGTTGGGTATCCCGCGGGTTCATGGGTACCCACGGGTTTTGTCGTTAAAAATTTACAATTACAAGTTCTTATCAAAATTAAAGTCAAATATCAATCTCTCAATACAAATTATCCATATATAAAACACCATTCTAGAAAATTCAAGCAAATCACAAATTAACTATACAAATTGTTCAACACCAATCTAGAAAACTCAAGAAAATTGAAGCAAATCAAAAATTATCCATAATAACATGTTTAATTGAAAGCTTCTTCCTTTCAATTAAGTTTCTTTACTCTCCACTCCATAACATCAACTTCATTCTACACAATTAAAAAGAAAAAATTAGACATGTCTCCACAAACATAAATAAGACTAGTTGTTTAGAATATTAAATATACCGAAAAAATTAATTATATGGGCGGGCGGGTACCCACGGGCCGGGTTTACCTAAACCCAAACCCAACCCAACCCGGTGAATAGTGAACGGGTTTAAAACCCAAAACCCGGCCCAAAACCCGTCAACACGGATTTTACCCGCGTTGACCGGGTTGGGTCGGGTGGGTACCAGTGGGTTCGGGTTTTGTTGCCATCCCTACCTCCACATCAAACGACTTCCTGGCCCTCTTGAAGAACGTCGCGTCTTTCTTCCACCACCTCAAAGGCGCCATCGCAACACACCGTTTTTTTATCACCTCCCGGCAGCAACAAAACGCAGCGTTTTGACCTAGATTAGTTTAACTTTTAAGGACAGGAATCCACTCCCTACGAAAGACCACTCTAGTTATTATGCTAACTGCATAAATTGTTAGTATATACTAACTAAGATCCAAAATGTATGAACTAGTATCCAAGTCTGTTGATTTTACTAAAGTATTTAGATAGCACAGACTAGTATTCAAAACATCACAAAACTAGTATCCAGATAGCAAATACCAACTAATATCCACAATCAACCAACTAGTATTCAATATGGGTACTTTTATGTGTTATCTGGATACTCTTATGTGTTATCTGGATACTAATTATGTGTTGTATGGATACTATTATGTCTTGTCTAGATATTAGTTTGTGAATTTGGGATAATAGTTGATTCATGATAGATATCAGTTAGCAAACCTTGAATACTAGTCTGTGCTCTCTAGATATTTTAGTACTTGGATACTAGTTCATGTTTTAGATATCAGTTAGTATCTGCTAACGAATTTTCAAGTTAGCAGATTAACTCCCCCGATGAATAGACACATTGCTCAATGCTCATAAGCAAGCTGCAAAGTATTGATCGGTTGTCTAAAAAGACGTTTATACATAACTTTCTCATTAACCACTTGATCAATCGCGCTCTCCCACCATGTCCATCGTAGATTTCGATTCCATGGATTTCGGTTAGTAGGGATTATAGGGATGAAAACGGTGCAGTCTGAATCAGATCAGACTATATATACAGTTTGTGGTCAAGATCGACATTTTAGAATATAAATTATGGATCAAACCACATATTATACGATTCAGACCAGATCGAGGCTATACAATGCGTTTCGGTAAGATATGATCGGGATTAAGTAGACCATGTTCAATAAAACTTCACACTTTTTCAACCCTTCGATCCTCTTTGGTATCCACAAAAATAAAAAGCTCGGCGTCCAATATACTAGTGAAACAAAAATTTAGTGACTGTAACTAACTCGCGAAAAAAATATGCGGAGAGAAGTGTACATTTTCGATTTCTTACTCCTATCCGGTCTCCACTTAAAATAAAAACACAACAAATAACTCTGTCTCCCTCTTCCAGGTTGGTCTAAAAGGTTCTCGCACTTAATCTCCATCGCAAAGAAGTCGAGATCATTTTGAACCACTAGGTTGGCCGCTTCGCTCGACAAATTTTCTCTTATCTCACCGGGGTAAATAAATTATGTTATGCATTTCTATATAATTGACTTCGGATTCTAAACATGGCATGGCATGTTGAGATGATTTTCCCATCTTTTCTTGTTTTTGTGTGGTTCTTTCATTAGAAGAACACAGAAAATATCACTTGAGCAGTCTGTCGATTTTCAGCTTAATGAAGAATTAATAGATTTATTATTCATATACAGAAATCTACAATCGAATTGTTTGTTCGCAATGATCAGATTGATCAGCCTCGATTTGTTCTTCCAAATGCATAAATGAAGATTTAGTGTTTTGATTTGAATTAGTGGGTAGTAGGTCACGGTCCACCACGATTAATCGGATTTACCGCAATCCAGACCGTATCAAACCACACACTAAATGGAAGATCACAGACCAAATCATAATTCTGGTCTTACTGTTCGGACCAAACCGTACACATAGTTTCCCGTACATTTTGGTCTAAATTCCCCGCCCTAAGACTAACTCCAACCCTTGCTTGCAAATTTGGAGAAAGGCAACAATTTGCCTTTTTTCATCTCCAACCCACCTTCAATTTTGCTTCCAAATTTGGAGAATGGAGTGTTGGGGTGGATAGGTAGCAGCCTCCATGGAGGAAATGGGCAAAAATAGCAGCTGCAGCAGGGGACCCCGCGTGCAGGCGAGGGCCACCCGCGGAGGCGCGCCTGGGCCGCACGCGCCTCAATTTTTGTTTGTGTGGTTTATTTGTGTGGGTGTGTTTGCGTTTTAGTTTGTGTGGCTGTGTTTGCGTTTTAACGGTCATATTTTTTGAAAGAAGTAATATAGTGACAATAAAACGGTCACATTGCAACGGACACATTTTAACGGTCATATTTTTTTCTCTATATAATGAGTAACTTCTCATGGTTTTTCTGCACTCATTCTCATCTATTTATCATCTCTCAAAACAAAAACATGTCAAGTAAGAGAGGACCCAATTGGAAAGCTCATGAAGATGTAAACTTGTGCAAATCTTGGATATCAATATCTGAAGATGGAGCGGTTGGCATCAATCAAAAGAGCACGAGATTATGGGAAAGGGTGGAGAGGGAATTTCGAAGAAGCGATCCTACAACAATTCGTACTACGGATTCAATGGAATCCCGAATGAGACTTATCAGTAACAAGTGTAAAGTTTGGAAGGGAGCTTTGGAGAGGGCGGAGAGGAGTCAAACGAGCGGTACCAACCAAGTTGATGTGGTATTGTTTTGGAAACTTTAACTTTTGTATTTCTTATTTTTTTGTATACTTATCTAACTTGTGTATTAATAATTTTGATAGGAATTTGTAGCAAGGAGAATATATAAGGCAGAGAATGGGGAAAAAGCCTTTGAACATGAGCATTGTTGGGTCATCCTTCGAAATTGCCCAAAGTGGTATTGTGACCCTCAATTGGTTGTTGGTCCAATTCCACCTATGGGTCAAGGTTCTCAAAGTTCTCCCACAGGTATTGGTTCTCAATCCTCCCCTGTGGAAGGCCTCGACGACATACCAGACGAGGGAGCTACGCCTTTCGTGCTGTCTCGCCCTGAAGGACGCGACAAACAAAAGGCAGCAAAAAAGAAAGGTAAGGTAGTTGCGGAATCGTCAGACATGTACACTACTCAACTGCTAGAGTTTGATAATGATATGAGAGAGAGGCAAAAGTCGAGGATGGAGTACGAAAATAGAAAAATTAATCTTCAAAAGAGGAGACTAGAGAGGGAAGCCGAGGAATGGGCATACAAGAGGCAAGTGAGGGAGCAGGAAGCGGAACAATGGGCTCTTGAGAAGAAAGAGAGGGAGGTCGCATTACTTCAACAAAATATGAATATTCTGGAGAAGGATTTGTCAAAGATGACACCAAGAAAGAAGAAATTTTGGAGGACTAAACAAAATGACATCTATGGGTACGATCAAGATGATCCCAACTCTAATCCAGGAGATGGCGGAGATGGAGATGCAAGTGGTGGAGGAGATGGAGATGAAAGTGGAGGTGATTACTTTCCTGTTATGGATTATGATTAGAAGAAGGTCCGATGTGTACTAATTTAGGCTTTTATTGCTTTATGTGGTGTGTTTTGTGTTGTATTTGAACTTGAATTGCTTTATGTGGTGTGTTTTGTGTTGTATTTGAACTTTGAGCATTTTCACGTGTAATAAAAAAACTAGTCGTTATTGAATCGTTTGATTAACTACAAAACACACTTTATTGAAACATGAAATACAATCACACACTGAAACTTAAATACAAACTACCAAACAAGCAATACAATCCATAATTAAACAATACTAGTTATTGCCCTGCAAATTCCAAAGATGCTCAACCAAGTCATTTCGAAGCGCATGATGTGTTGTTGAGGAGCGAATCCTATTATTTCTAGCCAAATAATCAACCAGAGTTGGAACTTGTCGGTTGATTGGTTGAGGTTGTTCATGGACTTAATAATCAAGGTCATCATCCATCTCATCATCAGAATCAACTTGCTCATCCTCGATTATCATGTTGTGTAATATAATGCACGTCAACATTATATTGTTCAGGGTGACAACATCCCAAGCTCTTGCAGGGCCACGAACAATTGCCCATCTTGATTGGAGGATTCCAAATGCCCGCTCTACGTCTTTGCGGTGTGCTTCTTGACGTTGAGCAAACAAAGCCTCTTTGTTTGACCTTGGATTGCTGAAGGTCTTCACTAAAGTCGACCATGAGGGATAAATACCGTCGGCCAAATAATAGCATTGATCATAAGCATTGCCATTTACCTCAAATCGTACATGTGGAGCGCTTCCATTGACAATACGATCAAACACTGGCGACATCCCCAGAACATTTATATCGTTGTTCGATCCAGGAGACCCAAAGAAAGCATGTCATATCCATGTGTTGTAGGAGGCCACCGCCTCTAGAATGATTGTTGGCCTATGCATATGGCCGGTGTATTGTCCTGCCCAGCCGCTTGGACAATTCCTCCATTCCCAATGCATACAGTCAATTGATCCAATCATTCCAGGAAAGCCACGTCTTGAGGCTTTACTGAGTAAGATCCTTAAATCGGCAGGAGTAGGTGCGCGAAGATATGTGACCCCATACATGTTGATAATGTTGTTGCAGAACTTTCTGAAGACCTCCATCAAAGTGCTCTCACCCATACGAACATACTCGTCAAGTTGATCAGCTGGAGAACCATATGCTAGCATGCGCATCGCACCAGTAAGCTTCTGCTCTGGAGATAATGACAATTGACCCAAGCTATCACGCCGTAGAGCAAATGAGGGGTCAAACCTCACAATGTCGCCCATAATGCGATGGAATAATCTTGGTTGCATCCGATAGCGCCTTCTAAATATACGAGCATTGTATACTGGATTTGGATCGAAGTAATCCCTCATAAGACGGCGATTACATTCGACCCTTTCACGATCAATGTGACGTCGACTTGTAGTTTGACGTCGACTTGATGAACCTTCAGCCAGCCTCCGGCCGATTAAACTCAACCGTAGGTGGTGAAACCTCTCGTACTCTTCGATTTCTTCTTCTCCTCCCGACGATGAGCTATCTGACATACTCATGATGAATGTGTTTGTTTTAGAAATGGGAAGAAGTTTCAGTGAGTTGATGAAAAATGAAGAATTGTGATTTATAAACACATATGATGCACAAAACGACAAAAAAACGGTCACAAAGTAACGGCTAAAAAAACGGTCATATTTGGATAGGTCCAAAAAAACGGTCATAAAGTAACGGCTACAAAAAAATGACTAATTTTGCAAAAAAAAAAATATCTCGGAATTAAAAAAAATTACATCGAAAATTTGTTTTCACAAGTAATAACAAACTATAAAAAAATTAAAGTGAATTACAAGAATGATATTGTAAATAAGTATGGATTATGGAAATTAAATTAAAAAAAGATGTGGGAAGCTAAATTTGGAAGCCTATAGGGTTGGAGCAAAAAAGTGTTTTGGGGAGGCAAATATGCACATTTGAGAGCTTGGGAGGCTAAATATAGCTTTTGGGGTTGGAGTTAGTCTAAGCTAGTAGTTAGCGCGGAGTTGAGGTGAAGTATTAAATTGGTCACAAAAGTTATATACATATCCAAGTAACCACGTCAACTTATTCTTAGGGGTCATTTGGATGCAGGTTTTGGGTGTGGGATTTGGGCACAATCCTACATAATGTGGGATTTTATTAAAATCACTCGTTTGGAAAGCAATTATATGATAAGAGATTTTAAATATTAGAGATTTCAGAAACCCACAATTGTGGGATTATGAAATAGCTGATGGTGATCAGCTATTTTAAAATCCCACACAAATCCTACAAATTAAAAACCTAGGTTTTTAAACAAGTGATTTGAGCCAAAATCCCACAAATCAAAAACCTAGATCCAAATGACCCCTTAATGTTTCCACTCGAATAAATATTTTTTATGTACACTTATGGTAATCTACCATGAAACTACAGCGAAACATTTGACATCTGAGCTATAGGGCCTTCGAAGTTCGAACCACTCCCTACTCCGCTGCTGTTTCCTTCGAAGCGAGAGTTGATTGCGGACGAGAGCAGCGAAAGTTGATCGGCGAAGATGATCAAAGCAGTGATGGTGATGAACACTCAAGGCAAGCCTCGGCTCACGAAATTTTATGAATTTCTGGTAAGGAAGAGACAAACTCAATTTTCTCTTTTTTTTTTCCTTCCATGTTTGATGCGAAGAAACTGTATCAGCTAGTTGAGTAAGCTTCCTTTCTGATGATCTCGCTTTATCGATGGAATTTCTGCGAGGGCAAAGCCTGTGGAGAAGCAGCAGGGGATTATACGGACCGTGTTTGGAGGTAATTGGTCGACCCTTCGAACGACGGCTCGGCATTTTTTTGCCAAAACTGCTCTAAAGATCTCGTCGTTGTAGAGTTGTGGGTTTTCGATCTCTGAGTTAGGATTTCTGGTGCGTAGTTTTGTGCAGTAGGGCGGAGAACGTTAGCAATTTCATGGAAGCGGATTCAATTTTCGGTCCGGTATGTTCTGATGCTTCCTGCTGTTGAACTTCTCAGAATTCCATATCAAAAGTTGTGATCTTTAGTATCGTGCTCAAGGGTTTTTATCTGTGTGACAGGATAGTCGTCTTGTCTACAAGCACTATGCGACTCTCTACTTCGTCTTTGTGTTCGATAGTTCAGAGAACGAGCTTGCAATGCTTGATCTCATCCAAGGTATGGCGATCACTTTCTCCAGGAACCATACAGCGGTTTCTTGTTTTTTGCTTTTTATTACTAGCTAGAGCCTCTGAAGGTACAAGAAGAGTGAATCTAATTTGTTTACTTGTGATATTGGAGTGGCTAAAAGAACCTCTGATGACATTTTATTGAACATCCTTGGGGATCATGAACAATAGAAGATTTCCACTACATTGTGAATGAAATTTGGTGTAATTAATCTTGCAGAAGCCTTTGGTTCAACTTAAACTTGGGTAGATTAAACTAGAGTGGTGGTAAAAGGAAGGGCTCTAACTATGTAGTTGAATCTTCTGATAGGAAGGCAAACCCAAAGTCTTGATGTATGGGGCCGGATTTCTGTCGAGTTGAGCAATTTTTAACTTCTCGAATAGTCATCCATTAGTACTTCGGTTTATTTGAACTTATTTGGATGCCAGAGCAACCATGTGAAACAATGTCTTATGAGCCTAAATAGCTCTTTTATCTAAGTTTTTAAATGGTTTCTCCTGGTGCTTTCTGAATGCCTCTTTGCTTGTTGGCAGTTTTCGTGGAAACACTGGACAAATGCTTCAGAAATGTGTGTGAGCTTGACATTGTATTCAATTACAGCAAGGTATGCGATATTCCCTTGTTTACATGCACTAGGACTCTTGTGTATAGGTAATCATCTATTGTTGGCCTGTTGCTATTGTGCCTATGATTTTGTGTTATTTGACATAAGAACACTGGTCAAAAGTACTGCCTTTAGCTACTTGAACTTGAATCACTTGATTGTTGGTCTAGTACAATAATTAATGTAATTGGTCATTTTGCTGGGAAATAGGCTCCTTATGTGATAGGTGACAATCATACCAAAGATATTCTCTCATGTTATCTTTGAGTGAGAATGAAACCACAAATATTGCATCAAGGATTCGAATGATACCTTGTTTTCTTTTCATAAGCACTTCCCCTTATTTCCTCTGAGCTCTGCTACTTAAACACTTGAAAACAATTAAACAAGCAAGCTTCCTAACTGCCTGCAGATTGGCACTCCACCTCTCTACTAACAGACAGATAATTAAAGAAAAAAACGAGAGTCAAAGATTGTGCATCTTTTATTGCCTAGCAGCATGGATTTAGTGACTCATTAGAGACTAATTCGACTATGGTTTGTCTTGCTGGATAGCTGCATACCATATTGGATGAGATAATCTTTGGAGGCCAAGTGCTGGAAACAAGTTCAGCCGAAGTCATGAAGGTTGTTGAAGAAATATCAAGGTGCTTCTTTCTCTCTCTCACACACACACAAACACAGTTTCAGTGGCTGCCTGATTATCTTGAACATTACCAAGTGACTAACTTGTGTGTGATGCAGGCAAGAATCAGCCTCAAACTCTATAGGATTAGTTACCAAAACAGTTTCTGGCTGGAGGAATAGGTAGCACACTGTTTCAAGACCTCATCGACATCAGATTTTAGGCTCCAACTCCCATTAAACTTGCATTCTCTCTCATCCCTCTATTTCAGCTGTTGTACTACTCTTTCCTCTGGCTCCTCACAGCTGATCAGACTGCTGTTAGTTGAAATCTTATGAAATTTCCATTTCGAAGTTCACTCATTCGCTTCTTTACATCTATTGATTACGAATTAAGTTGGATGATCTCTCGAGGATGATCATCTCTATAAACATAATGAAAAACAGCATACACGGCATAATCAACTTTCTGGGCAGAACTCTTCTTATTCTTACAATTGGATGAACCCCTCCGTTTGGTATATTGAACTCCTGAAGAACTACACGGGCAGAATTACATCCTGGTGCTCCCATTACTCCACCACCTGCATGGGTTCCGCTTCCACAAAGGTATAGTCCTGGAATCGGTGTCTTATAATCCGACCTGTGTTATCGTGGCCCCAAGAGAAAGCAAGGCTTTATGATCCTGACTTGGGCAAGATTCAATTCCCCATCAACAGTGAAAGACTGATGTATGATTAAGCTGTTTCCATTTACTGGCCGCAGGAGGAAGAGACTGTCCAGTCCCATGGCACCATGAAAGGTATTCCTGCCTGTGGAGAAGCAAACTCAGCTCAGCTCCCCATAGATCAGGTGTTTGTTTTTGTGGTTCTAATTTGGGGAAGTACCTGTAAGGCCGATGACGCGCTCCAGGTCTGGAGGAGTCAACATGTCATACCCAATGACGGAGGTGCTGAAGCCCAGGGCATACTCTTCAACCAATCTGAAACATCTTTCTGCATACGCTTCCTGCAGAAATGATGGATTTCAACACACACTGCGATGACAGGTATCCTCCAACCCCATGACTAAAACGGAAGTAGTTTGCATGACTCAACACTCACTCTGTACATCGGCTCATCCCAGCTTCCATCTGATGGCTTGTATGGTGTGTACTGTGTGAACAGCCCTACTACATGCTTGCCTACAAAGCCAGTGGTTGCGTGGATTCAATCAAAGTCAAAAAAACGATCTTATGACGAAAGTTCATCCTGAGTTCTGCTTAGGGTAGACGTACCAGGGGGTGACATGGTTTTGTCCAAAACCGAAGGAATTGTCATCTCCATAACCGGTCTTCTTTAAGGTAAACCATTAACTGCATCTTGACACGCCTCATCTATTGTCTCCAGACTTTGTGGATACATTCGAAACAAATCATAGATTCTAAATTCAGGAAGATAACGGAGCAAGATACTAGTAGCATAGTAGCAATGGAATGAAATGCTTACTTGTCTGCTCCGATTCGAATCGTCCCCATGAGGTGGGGACCTGGATTATGACTGCTCGACTTCCAATATGGGAAATGGGACAGCTTATCCACAGCAACGTTAATCTTTGTCGATGCCTGTTTTAGTTACATCGATCGTATAGTAGTAACTGAGTGTTTGAAAATCTACAACCTGGAAGTCAATCAAAAAGTTGAGAACTTCAATTCAAGAGAGAGCAAACAAAGCCTCACAGAGCTGTAGTTGGTATTCTTCAGTGACGAGATGAAATCGCTGGGGAGAACATCGCTTGGCAACAATTCCTGTGATTGAGATGGAGAATAAGAAACTGAATTGATGATAGGACTGCTTTTTTCGTCCAAACCGATCTGGTGCATATGCTAGAACAACACTTTACCAGGAAAGTTCTGTAAGGAGTGGCATTCGACGGAACAACTCGAGATAGGACTCGAGTACCGTCAGCAAGGACCACCTACAAACGTAGTGAACCATGTTTTCCATAGTTAGTCAGCTTATATTCAATCCAAAGAACCTCGGATAATCGTCGGCGTCCCTTTTGGAGAATTTGGAAATCTCTGCAAGGTTGTGATCGGCGTCGGTTCCAAGCAGAATGTAACGGCCATCAAAACAAGGCGTGAAAGAGAATGCGCTTCCTTCCAGCATCTTCAATCCATGCCTCTCCAACTCCAACTCTCTGTTCTCAAAACAAATTATCAGAAAAAACAGGGGAGAAACCGGGGAAGCAATAGGAGTAGAAGAAAAATGATCACTTGATGATGGAGGGGCGAAGAAGACTCTGGAGGTAGCTGCATCTGGAGAACTGGAAGCCAGGGATGATCTCTTCAGTAACGGCTGCGCCGCCGACGAGGTGGCGACGCTCAAGCACTACGACGGAGAGACCGGCTCGAGCGAGGTAGGCAGCTGCCGTCAAGACGTTGTGGCCACCGCCGATGACCAGCGCGTCCCATTTTTTCTCCTTGAGAGTATGAGTCGATGTGAATGAGGAGGAGCTGGCCACGGTGGTGAAGCATTTCCGCAACATCTCCCTGCGTGAGTTCTGGGATTTGCTTTCACTTTTGACTATTCTGTTCTGCTTGTTTACGGGCAGTTAAGTTTAACCGCGAACTTGTTAGATTGGCGCTTAGGGAGTGATGTTTTTTTGGAGCGGATTCAATATAGAACTATATATATAGGCAAGTGAACCAATAATGGAATCATGATACAGTGACACAAGTAATAAAATTGTCGTATTTATGAATCTCAAGATTTACTATTACTCGGTTTTAGCTTATTATCTAGGAAATTCAAATTCAGGTAAAACAACTAAAACTATTCTAACAAACTGCGAAATGGTTAAACTATTTAAAAGGTAGAAGGCTCACTCAGGTAATGAATTCCCCATAGCCACTGGTCGGATTAATGGGTAAATGACACATTTGGTCACTGAGATTACTAAATCGTGTCATATTTAGTCACTAGAAAAATTTAATATCAATTTTGGTCACTCGAATTACTGACACAGGTCACATTTGGTCACTCTTCTGTAGCCTCTGTCCAACTCCGGTCACTCGAATTATTGAAAAATGTCACATTTAGTCACTCGTATTACTGAAACATGTCACATTTAGTCACTCTCCCAAAAGTTTCCGTCCAACTACATTAATGGAGTTGGACGGAAACTGACGGGAGAGTGACTAAATTTGACCAGTTTCGGTAATTCGAGTGACCAAAATTGATATTAATTTTTTCTAGTGACTAAACATGACACAATTTAATAATCTCAATGACCAAATGTGTCATTTACCCTCGGATTAATGATTGATGGTTATGAAACCTATTTCACCCTTTCATTCATAATGTGGAAAGCCCTTAACAAGTCATGAATCTCAATTGAAGCAATCACTTCTCTCTTGAGTCGATTGTTTAGAGTGATACTATCCTCAACTAACACAACCTATCAAGGAAATTCACACTAAACTCTCTCTCTATTCATAGGACATTGTTGGGTACTATGTCCAACGAGAAAAGGGATGATAGTGAGGTAAAGTTGTAGCTTATGCCAAACAGTCTTATCCTTCAGAAATTGCTTCTTCACATTCATTAAGATGTGTCAAGTACATAATATATGGAAGATGCCAGGCCACTCTTTCCTAAGTGTTTTGGCTATGGTTGGGTCCTGATCAGTGAAGATGGTGGCTGTGAGTTTATGATCCATACAACGACACAAAGTATCAAACAACCACTCGAAAGATGCACTAGTCTCGTCGTACAACAAAAATGCCCGGAAGATGCAAGTTTGTCGGTGGTGGTTAAAACCAGCAAACATCCCTACATAACACAAGTCGTCAAAAAAATTAAAAAAATTATTGAAATCGTCCAAAGTAATATTCATACACAACAGACTAGTACTCAAACTCTCTACACTTATACTCAAACACTCCAGACTAGTACTCAAACTCTTCATAGTAGCATTCAAATTCTTCAGACTAGTATTCTAAAAAGTATTTCAACAAATAAGTAGCTTCACTGTGTGTCATGTTCCTTTGCCTTTTCTTGTTCAGATGGCTCCTTCGGTCATTCCTCGAGAATGTAAGATTTCCGTACCCACAAACACATATAGTCAATAGCTTGTATGAAAAGTTCAAACTAACACCAGCATTCGTGTTGGCTTCAACCATTAACAACAACACTGTCGTCCGGCCATTTCTTCGTATTCTTTGGATTTATAGTACTCTTGATTGAATAACCTTGTTTATTGCATTTTTAGTAAATGTACCAAACCTTTTCCCACCCTTACTGTTCGTGTACAACTTCGCGTGTTCGTTTTGTATTCGCACACTAAAACCTCAATCGTCAGCATAACTTGAATAGAAGCTATAGCAGTTGTCACTAGTCTTGAATTGCAAGTTCCTCCTTAAATTTTCATCTTCTAGTGCTGCATAGCCTACCATTTAAATTTAAAGTAAAATACAATTAGAACCTCAACGATCATTGTCCTCTAATCCTAACTAGTATTCACATGTGATTACATCCAATATTCATGAATACAACTAATATTCTTCAACATACGAATACGTATTGGAAAAAATGCCAACAAATTTTTTTATACGACCGACTAATATTCATGAACATTTCAAGTAATATTCTTCCGAGGACGAACAAGCATTATATATAATATAAACCAATATTCGATTATGACACGAATACAAAATTTTTTGTTAATCTTCCAACACATATTCATGAAAACACAAACAAATATTCATGCACACACAAAAACTACATGCATGTATGTACGAATAATAATTGAAAGCTCTCTCAACTCGAATTAAAAACATAGGAAGAAGTATTCAATTACTGAAATCTCGGATTTTTTTTCAACATAATAAATGCGCCAACCATATGAAGGCATTGAATGCTCGACTAGAACCAAAACATAATAAGTCAACATAAATCATTTGGTGTGGCCTTCACATTCCTTCTTCTATTTCATCAACAATAGTCATCCACTCTTACGAGCCCCACAAACTATCACATGTATCTTTACCATCCACTTGAGGAGGATATCAGCAAGATCAGTGACATCCTTCTTTTGGATTCCAAGATCGACCTCTTCTGGAATATTGAGGTCGACATGCCTGTTGTCTCACAACTTCTAAACACTCTCCTTTATTAGGGATGGCAATTTCGACATGACCTGCCCTGACCCGCCCCACTTTTTACTCGTTCTTACTTAAATCACATTTAATTTAGTGAAATTACTTAGCATTTTACTTTTATTACTTAAAAGTAATATTTTGTGAATAATTTAATTATATTAATCATGTTATAGTTTGTTTCTTACTTTTTGTCATGAAAAGATAAATATTTTTGAAGTTTTAGATTTAAATTAGATACCCATTTGGGTCAACCTGTCTCAGCCTGCGCCCCGTGATAAATTTTCAGTGCTGATCTCGACCAGTCACGGAACAGGTATGGGTATCTTGATACCCGCTCGGGCGCCCCTGCCTGCCCTATTGTCATTCTTACCTCCTATGGGTTCTTCTTCTTGTCTTCGAAGGCCAGATTTTGCATGAGATGGCCAGATTTGGAAATCTAGTGTCCTTCTTTTGGGCAATGTCTATTTTTTACCCAAATTTTTTCAAAATTCTTTTATTTTACCCAAACCTATGAAAATTCTATTTATTATCCAAACGTTAAGTTTCCGTTAACAGTTCCGTTAGTTAAAACTGCGCGGGCAAAAAAAATGTCGATGTGGCAATAAATGAATTTTTTTATTATGTGTCATCACCAACTCAATGTCCTTCGGCTCGACTCCAGTTTCATCCACCTCCTCATCGTCCTGAGCCATGGCGGAAGTCTCGGGTTTTCTGAATCACGTGACTCAGATCGAGAGCCTTGAACTGCTCTGAAGCTTGAGTCTGGAGTTGTGAACTTATCTCCTCTTATTCTTCCTTCTGGCTTCTCTCTTCTGTTTCCGATCAGTAGTGGCACCCAACCAACGCCGGAGACGAGAACATCATCGCCTTCGTCGATTGCTTCGACACGAACTGGAACTTCGACGGAGACTGCTCTGCACGGTGATGCCCGTGGGCGTCGAGATCTTCCGGCGCCGGCAAATTGAGATCCAGCGACAACACATTCTTCTGCTGGTTATTATTCAGATCGTCATAATTAACCGCGGCGCTCGTATCCACAATACCCGCCGTCGTCGTCATCACCACCCCCGCAGCCGCCATCTGGTTCTCCGGCGAGATCTAGATAGACGCTTCTGTGCTTGATTTGGCTTGGCCGGTATCCAGATCGAGCTTTTTCATTTTCTGGAAGAAGAGGAAGGAAAAGGGAAGGCAGAGAGAGGAAGTGGATTAGGAAAAAGAGAGCCGAGAGGCGGAGAGAGTAAAGGAACAAAAAATAAAGAATTGATATTTTTTATTATTTTATTTGTAATTTCAAATTTTGTTATGATTTTTTATTTTATTAATTTCAGACGTGGATGCTGACGTGGAGTTCCGTTACGAAATACGTAGCGGTAACAGAATGAATGCCCAGACTTTGATCAGTTACAATAAGTTTGGATAATAAATAGAATTTTGATAGGTTTGGGTAAAATAAAAGAATTTTGAAAAGGTTTGGGTAAAAAATAGACATTGCCCCTTCTTTTCAATGGAAGACAAAGAGAGAAAAAAAAAATGAGGGATAATGGAGCATGAGAGAGAGTTGGTAGGTGGGTGTCCTTCTCTTCCCTCGGCTCAGGCAGCTCAGCCGGCTCCCCCTTGGCTGCTTCTCTCCTCCCCACAGTCCACCCTAGCGCCAACGATTCCTGGTCACTCATTTCAAACTTGGCCGATGTGGCCAATGGGTGCTCTTTGAGAATATTCTCATAAAAATCATAGCGAAATTGGCAAGATCATATAGAATTATAACCTTATTAGCCCTGACAGCCTATCATGAGGTAAAGGATAGGGTACTTGGACGACTTGGCTCAATGGGTGATCTTTGAGAATATTCTCATAAAAACCATAGCGAAATTGGCAAGATCATATAGAATTAGAACCTTATTAGCCCCGACAGCCTATCATGAGGTAAAGGATAGGGTACTTGGCCGAATTGGCCCAATGGGTGATCTTTGAGAATATTCTCATAAAAACCATAGCGAAATTGGCAAGATCATATAGAATTAGAACCTTATTAGCCCTGACAGCCTATCATGAGGTAAAGGATAGGGTACTTGGCCGACTTGGCCCAATGGGTGATCTTTGAGAATATTCTCATAAAAACCATAGCGAAATTGGCAAGATCATATAGAATTAGAACCTTATTAGCCCTGACAGCCTATCATGAGGTAAAGGATAGGGTACATAACCACTCACATAACTATATCTCGACCCTTAGTTTTAAGTGGGCCCAAAAAAATCGACATCTAAAGGGTGAGAATTGACGACTTTTTAATTGTCTCTTGTTTTCTTAATCGATTTTTATCTTTTTTGTTCTAACTTGGATTTTTTTTTCTTTTTGCAAAGATGGAACGAGTACGTTGTGATCTACAAAATGATATTCATTTTTCAGTATATTTCGACAAAAGAAATTTCATACCACTCGTTACCATCTTGGTATCACATCCATTTTTAACTCGAATTCTTAATTTGCATAGAAAGAACGAGTTCCTCGTGATTTATTGTATCTGCAAATTTTTGGAGAAATATGCAGGACCAAATATACCACCCTGGCATAAGGGTGGTAACTGGTGGTAAACAATGACAAATGTAGTAAATGACAGTTCGTACATTCCTACTAATATGTATTTAATCATTCTACACTGTGGTATGTTTATATCACCATGGTACACTTCCATACCACGTGGTATATGTAATATCAAGCATTACCACAATGGTATAGACTGGTACTAAATGTTCAATTTTTTTCGTTCCAAAATATATTAAATTAAATATTATTTTGAGGAGCACAATTAATCCGATTTATCTTTGCAAAATATTTCAATTGAGATTTAAAATGAAAGAAATATAGTCCATTAAAATTTGTAGGAAAACAGTTTGAGACCTTCCAGATGTAAGATTATACATATATAAGGTTTACTCCCGAACTGCCCCCATACCATGGTCTTCACTTCATTTTAGTTTTATTTTAGGACGTAAATATGTCTCGAATGGACAATCAATAAGACTCCACTTCATTAACTAACAATGGGATTGTTGGTCTTTTGGACAAAAGTTCAGACATTACAAGAAGTTACATAGCAGCCAATGAAGAGATTAAAAAGAACCATTGGCAGCTAATTTCTACACTACACATCATCGTTTCCAGACTAATGAAAAATGAATCAAGTAGCACTGCATCGCCATGCTTTGAACATGATCCCAGTGAGAAAGTGCTTTGACCTCTGCATATACTTTTCTTCTTTTGTTTTCCTTTGTGGTTTTTTCCCCCAGTTTTTTTGCCCTAGATCAGAACTGCCTTCCCTACTGTTTCAAACTATGCGCAATGCTAATAATTACATAAATGGGGAGCTTCAATAGAACAAGATATTCACAGGGCTGCAGAGGACGAAAGATCAGTCTGTGCGTTGTAAGAAGGAGAAGCCTGAGTTCTCACGAATTAGAGGTGGCGGTTCAATCTCAGCAACATCGACATGCTCCATTGACTTGGAAATGTCGTCTACTGTGAATGGTATACTGCATTCACAAAAACAACAAAAAAGATGAATAGGTGTCTTGGGGACTACGGAGTACATTTTTCATTCTACAAACCGGAGGGAATTGGATCTATGTTCATACCTTGAATCGTCATCCAACAAGAACGAGCTGCTGACAGCGTTATTCGTGTCCTCGGTCATCATGACTCTCATGTTAGAGATGACCTGAAAGAAATCAGGGGAGATCCAGTTACCAAAGAGACAAGTAACCATACTGAACACTTGTCATTGGTGGCAAGTAGAGTGTTAGTTCAGAAGAGTCGAGTGCTTACCTCTGATGAAACACTATGTGTCCCGTATTTGTCATCCCAGTACATGGTACTGATTCTGTACAGTTGTTGTATGCTGAGAACCTGGAGATACCACAAAGAGAAGAGTCGGGGAAAGGTCAATGCAAAAAGAATAAAGGGAAAAACAAGCAGATACAGAATACTGAATTGTGTTATCCTACTCACAGGGCAAAGATCGGTTGTAATTTCCTTCAACGCTTTCTTTGGCTTCTGATGTATGACCTGAATGGTACAAATGATCATACCCCATTAGCAAATAAAGATCAGGCAAGAATGGTCGTAGAAAGATGCGACATTTTGCTGTAACAAACCAGGAATCCGACAGCTTGTCTTATGTGTTTCAGTTCCTCCCAGGCCGGGCCTACAAACTGGATCGAAAAGTTACCGTTAAGTGGGTTTCCATAAAGGGAGGAATTTGAACTACCAAGATACCCCCCAACTAGTAAATTACCTCCTCAGTTGCATCATGGCACCACTGCTCCAGTTCAGCCAACCCTGTCTTTACATACTCCCCATTACTGAATGAGCAGCATTCTCGACGCAAAAGAAGGCTGGAGAAAGTCAAACTCTTAGTTTTAAGTTTTCGTGTTCCAACAAAGTCTGGGACACTAGAAAAGTTCGACGGGAGAGGACTACCGGTACCTGTTAAATAACTGAACGTTGATGAATGAGAATATCTGGGTGAACACCTTTCGGACTAGGAATGCAGGTACCTGTGGGAACACAACATTGAAGAGTTCATGCCGCATAAAAAGGAAAAGAGGAAATTGATCTTCATTCGCGTAGTAAGAATTTCCACTCACGTAGTTGGCTCTCATTGTTTTCAAGCAACTGTCCAAGGATCTCCCTATGCTCTGCCAATGAGCAATAAGTGTTTGTTGAGCCATAGCATTCGCCTGGGATCGTCCCTTGGCTAAACCAGCTCGTGATGTACGTGGTGCCTGCATTTAAAATTTCCAGATGTGATATGCAAGAAAGGGGACTGTAACAGATCTAAGAACAAGGGCATGAGGAATACCTGGATGCACAACCCTATCAAGGGCGAGATCTCTTTCTTCAAATTGTCCCTTATCATTCCATATATCTTTTCCAGGAAAGCCGTCAACTGCTGCTTGAAAAGCAAAGCAGGATACTTAGCTTCAACTTGACGCAACTCTTCCAGACCACCGAGCACCCTGCCATTTAGGAATGAGAAGCCAGCACTTTGTGGAGAACCACGGAACCCCTGAAACACACAGCCCACAAGAAAAAGGCAACTGGTAAGAGGATTCATGAAGTACGAAACCAAATGTCCTAAGGGGAGAATGACTGAAACCTGATGATGTTCTTTACCTGGGATACCCTCCCAAACAGAGAAGAGGATGTTGATCTTCGGCGTTGTGGTGTTAAGCTAGCAGCACCGGTTGCTTTTAGTGTCCGTTGAAGCAGCAACAAGAGGGTTGTGGAATTGGATAGCCAATACGACAATACATCATTGTTATCCTGGGCCTATCAGAGGGAAATGCATGACATCAGTAATAAGTAAACAGCAATACATACCTAAATTATAATGGACTTCCATACATGCACATACATAATTTCCGATTCAAGGACAACCAGTGAATGAAATAAGCCAAATGATTTTGCCCGAATGTAAATGAAATGAATGCGTTATAATTGTTCTGGATTTGCTGGATGTAACGAAACGATATCAATTAATTGTTACAAATAGGAGACAGAGGTTTTAACTACCTCGATTGCTGAACCAATTGCCTGAATAATACGGTCAAAAATATTAGTTCTTTCAACCTCAAATGACCTCCACTGAAGAAGGCATTTGTATATCAGGGAAGCAGCAACAGGTTTCCCCCCAGAGAATCCAAGGTCTTGAGATACACATTTGAGTAGCATATCTTGTATATCCTATAGGCCAAAGCATAGCAGTTAAAGATAATTTACAAGTTACATAAACAGCGAGCAACATCTGTCAAGAGAAGTGCAAACCCAGATTCCTTAGATATGCATTTATTTCCACTTATTTCTAAAAGCCTACCTGCTGCTTTTCATTTAGAGATCTCTGGGGTTTGTCCTCGTTTTCAGACTCCGTTGTACTAGGCAAAGCCAGCATTGGGTCCTGCAAGGTTTGGATAATACAGAGAAGAACAACTTCAAGTTGCTATATAACGATGCATAGGGAAAAAGTATGTCACGCCAAGAATGTGTAATATTACTCTTAGCGGAGTTCTCCTTGCTTCTGAGTGAGGAATACTTCCGTTCTCTGGGGTTCTCTGCAAAAAGGAGAGAAAAATCAGCACAAGTCCATGTAGTTATCGCAAGTGTTGATCAAATGAATGGAATTTATACTATACCTGTATAATTGTTGTCTTTGGTCTAAGGGCTAAGGCTTTTGCAGTTGGTGATATAGCAAGTGCTTGTTGACGGAGAACTTGATTCTCTGATTCTAAGTTGGATACCTTCTCTTCAAGACTGCAGTGAATGATTAGGATGAGGATGAAATTGATGATACGCATTCATCAACATATCAATTACGACATAACACATAGAGTACACCAAGAAAGGACTAGACAAGAAATGAGCAAGTGTCACAAACCTCTGAACTGAATCTTGAAGTTGATCCACCTTCTTTTCTGAGTCTTCAAGCTTCTTACTAAGCTGCTCCTTCTGAGACTCAGCAACAACACAAGCTTGTTTGGCCTCTTCTGCTGCTTGTCTTTGAGAGTTCAGTAAACCCTAATGAAATTAAATTTCTGTCAACACAAGGTTTTTCGTTTGAGCTAGTAAACCTAGACAATTTTACTGTAGTTCCCAATGTCCTGAAAGTGATCCTTATCCTCAAAGCACGGAGACTTAATGTAGAAATGGACACATACCTCCAACATTTCAACTCTAGCAGTAAAAGAGCGAACTTTCTCTGTGTCTTCAACTACAACAGGAGTTTCCTTAATAGCTGGAGGTGCTTCTCGAATAGCTTTTTGTGCTGCCTCCCGTTCCTTAACAACTAAAGCCTTGGCCTCTTCTACTTGTGATTGCATAGCATTCAATGCTTTTTGAAGCTTGGCAACTTCTTGGGTTTTAGACTCCTCCAGATCGGTCTGTGTTTGAGCAAAAATAATCAGCCAGGTCAGAAATGGAGATCAAGGAACAGTTAAAGCCTTTTTCTTTATGCAAGAGCACAGTTAAGCATTAATCTGAATACAAGCAGGCCAGGATGCAATATAACTACCCTTAGTCGTTTTTCCAATTGCAGGCGCCAAGTGAGTTCCTCAACACGCTTTTCCAACTTATCCTTTGCTTCCTTAAGAGCTCCTGTCTCTCTAGCAGCCTGATCGCATTCACAAGAAAATTTAGCACAATGTTCCTCCTCGTGATTATATCTCATACATATGATGATATCTCTAACAAGATCTACCATTTTCAGATTTCTGAGCTCTCTTCTAGCAACTCTGCATCTCCACCCACACTGTGTAACAATTGTAGCCTTCTGAAGACGCGTGTAGTAGGAAAGAGCTTGGTAGCACCGCCAGTGAGCCTAAGAACCAGGTAACACAATATCAATGTTTCTCCAAATCAACATAAAAAAGGAAACCCCCTCTTGACAACTGAACAAACATAGAAAATCAGATCATACCTGGATGGTGATGGCAGCTTTAGTTTGCTTTCTGAACCTGAATTCATTGCGTGCAGCCATGGCCCTTAAGCCTGTCTGCAATGTAATTGCAGATGATAGTTTCCTTAAGTAGAATTTTCTGGCAACAAAGAGGCGGAAGTTTTTCTGAATCTTCACAGCAGATGCCTCCCTCCTCAGCTGCTCAAAAATTCCACGGGATTTATTACCTACAGAAAGAAGTTAGACAAAATTATGGAGGCACATGGGTAAATCCTTCCAATTTCTTGTACAACCAGCCTGCAAAATTTGACTAATAACATTTCAAATACAGAAGAGGAGCCAGTTTTCCTGTATTCCACTAAATAGGCTTCAATCATTTCAGTCAGCCATAACATTCCATCAATGTGATAAACAACCGACATAGTGGTCTACCTCATTTCCATAACAAAACACGACTTATAAGAACTACCACTTGCTGGTTGAGGTGGTTCTATCAGTAACTTAATCAAAATCCCAGAAATCACCTCGCATATAAGATTGCAGTTCCACAGCTGCATTTCTTAATGAAATGAACTCCTTGCGAGCAATGTGAGTGCGGATCTGCCGCTGAATGATTCTAGCTGCATTTCCAAGCACTTCTGCTCTCCTGGCATCCAACTCAGCCATCTGACCTGCTCTCAAGAATACCTTTGTCTTTCCTATCTGCCAAATGTGAATTCGCATATGTTGTCGGTTAATACTTCGTATGCCCAATGAAAAAGGATAAACTGGAAATGAAGTAATGGAGCACAAAAGTTTCAAAACAGAAAGGTGCTAGTTCAATCACCTGGTACCCTTTAAGTCCTTTTCTGTTGAGAATCATTTGGCATGCAACCGTATCATCATAACTGCAACAATAGAGAGAAGTTACTTACAAATTATGTTCCATATCATCAATCTAAACAAGGAATCCCATTACTGGATTTACCATACAATATTAACGAGTGAGAAGATTGCAGAAACTTACTTTCCATCTAAAACTTCAGGAGCTAGAAGACCAAAACGATTGAGAAAATCATAAAAGGCCCGCCTTGTAGGATATCCAGCACAGCTAATCCTAATTGCCTCAAGAACTCCCTATTTTATAATGCATAAATATGAACAGTTCAGTAGAAAGAAATTAAAGTAATAGCAATCAGATTTTGGCAAAAACATAGAAGTAATGTTCAAGTGGTTGAAAATTTTAGTAAACATGACTCAAATTTAGTACTAACCCCACATCGTAACTGCTGAATGATATTAACGTTCTCAAAAATAGCAGGCTTCAGAACATTATTCGGCTTCACGCATCTAATATAGTGAGGTTCTGTCACACTCAAGGTCTCCATCAGAGATTGGAGTTGTAGCTGGGATCAAGAGATTAAGAAGCTTTCAAATTATACTTCAACAGATAACTTGCGCGTCTGATTATTATACACAAACCTCAAGTGTCGCAAGCGAATCTGAACATGAGAGTGAGGGAAGGCTACATTTATTACCTTAAACCGAGCACCAATAGAAGAGAACTTTGATGACTTTGATGATTCTTCTTTAAGTGGTGGGAACAATCCCACAACAAAGGGGCATTTTGAAGCAGTCATCACAGCTTGATGTTCAGCTACCACATAATCCTTATTTTTATCCAAAAACTGATTGGCTTGATAATTAACCTTTAAACAAGAAAAAAGTAGAGAAAATGATCAATTCAGGAATCGTCAGTGTTGATCAAATCTTTTTGAACAACTGTTTGACATGACTGTAAAATGAGTTTACCTCTCCAGCATAGTGTAAGATAGTGAAATCTGTACGTGATAGTTTTGGTTTGATAAAACGTTTGTTGTTCTTGAATGTCTGGTACAGCTTTTGAGCAAAAGTTGCATGTGTCGATTTTGGGAACATGCTGCAAAATTATTCAGAGAGTCTAAGTGGAGCCCTCAAACCAATTCCAGCGTGAGATCCAAAAATCTAAAGACTTCTAATATGGTAAGCTTGAACTGAGAATCAAACAGAACAACATACCAAGCTTCATCTAGAAGGGAAATTATTCCTCCCGGTTTCTGTAAATGACCAAAATAGCAGTTCAGTGCGTTATCCAGATTTGATATAAGAGTGACTCACTAAGAGATGAGTATCCACTAACTTCTTATAGGATTTTGCTGAAATACTTACGTGTCACAATGGCCAATGCCACCAAAATTGCATGTTTCTTTTGAGAATCATAAATATGGGGGTAAACAATGACTGAATGACACTAAAAGGGTTAAAAACCTTCTCAATCAGATCCAAAACATCCTGGTTATCGACAAATTCTATGTAACTCCATTCTATCTCCTCTTTAGTATACTCTTCCTGCTCCATTTTGAACACATGCTGCAAATATACAATCAATTATGAGAAAAGACAGTTACTTCACTCCATTTGAAGTGTAACCAGAAACCCATCGGTTTGTGAAGTGGCCTAACCTGATTGAAATGCTGTTGTAATTTTTCATTGGTGAAATTGATGCAGAATTGCTCAAAACTGTTTCACGAGCACAAATGTAAAAGCAGAAGCTCAAAACTATATCTCATACAAAAGGGTAAAAGGAAAGCCTTACAGCAGGTAGAATGAAATATTTGCAGAGTACATACAGTGATCAGTGATGGAAGATTCACACAAAATAACAAACTTGTAATACCAGTGACTTACCTGTTGCACTTAAAGCTTTCAAAACCATAGATATCCAGAACTCCAATTATTGATTTAGAATCTGGGTCCTGTCCAATTGAAACGTTTATCTTTTCTACAATCCTGGCCGCAATTGAAGAAAGGATATAGTAAATTATTCACCACAGTAATGAGGTAGCAATCTGCGAAACTGGAATACTAGAAGCAGGAGGAAAACATATATGATCTTTATGAGCTCCTCACCAATCAAACAGACGAGAGTATAAAGTCTTAGCCAAAGCATCCCTGCTACTGACAGCATTCTCAGGGTCAAGTGTTCTTGTGATAATTTCTTCAGGTGTTACCATCACACGTTTAATAAGGGCATCTTCCAAGTTCTTTGGATCACACCTAAGCATTAGGTAGGTTAAGACTGATGCAGGGTGGCATAATATACCTACATATTAAAATAAATGGGAAATTCCTCCATTCATTGGACGGTATAAGATCCGTACCTGAGGAGCTCTGCAGTCGTATCAAGATGAAATCTAGATTTATCATCTTTAATCTTTGAAGAATCAATCTCTGCTCCTTTAGCAAATTCGATGTTTCCAAGATGAAGAATTGCAGCTACAACCCTAAAAATTGCTTCCTAACAGCATTGAGATTTGTTATAATCCAACTTGAACGGCCGTTTTACAAAATAGGATATATCATAAGGAAACTCCAGCAGATTCTAGAAACAAACCTGATCTTCTTCACCAATCCCAACTATATCCATAGCCCTTATAGTTTCAAGATATTCATGAGCATCATTTACCCCATCCAACTCGTAACACTTTGATTGATTTAAATAATGGAAAGATTTCGGGCTCCCCAACTTGTACTTCTCTTTATCCTGCAGGGAGAAAACAGAATCTTGTAAAATACTTTACAGGATATGAGTGCATTGCTCGGTTACCAACACAAAGACCAACTCCACTACAAAGAAGTAAAAGAGATGGTTTTACCTCAGCTGGTGCCGCACAGAGAAGATAAAAGCAATGGTAGTTTCTCTCTGGATCAGAAATTTGGCACACACGAGATCTTTCAAGCAGATAAGTTCTTATAGCAGCGCCAGATATTCTACCGCTCTTATCAAATTGGATTTCCACAAATTTCCCGAAACGGCTAAATTTGTGAACCACAATCAAAGTGAATATAAATAAGATAATGCTGCAATAACACTGATGCCCAAGAAATCCATAATCCATGCTGATGCCTACCTAGAGTTATTGTTGCGAACAGTTTTGGCATTACCAAATGCTTCAAGAACTGGATTTGACTGTAGTTAACACCAAAACAGAAACATCAGTCTTCCAGGCATAACATATTTGCTAAAGATACAGCTAGCTGAGATGGAAATTTTTTAACCGCAGACTCTGTTTACCTCCAAAACTTGTTGCTCAACTGTCCTTCCTTCTACTCCAGATCGCCCTCCCAAGAAGGCAAGATATCTCATGAGCATCTTTGTAGTCTCGGTTTTTCCGGCACCACTTTCACCACTAACCAGGATTGAATTGCTTTTCCCTTCATTAACCATTGCCCTATATTTCTTCATCCTCAGGACATCAGTACAAACTACATAAAGATTATGAAGACACATTGGTACACGAAAAGAAACCTGACCTGTATGCAGCATCTGCGACTGCAAAGACATGAGGACTTAGCTCCCCAAACGCAGCGCCTTTATACTGTTCCATCATGTGAGTATCATAGAGATGGGGTAACCTTTGAAACGGATTGACAGCTATTAGGATATTGCCGGTGTATGTCTGAGAGAAGTAATGCACAGACATTAAATGTCTTTGCCCATATATCAAACCATCTTGACCAATTGATGTAAATAAAAGAGAATGGTAATAAAATAACTCACATAGATTTCGTTAAGTTCATATCTGGTGGCAAGATTTTGCAGAACTCCAGGTTCATGCAAATAGGAAAGCTTGGTCATGTCATCCACACCACCAGGTGGGGCTTCAGTGTCTTTGGGAAATACTTTGGACATATTCATGACAACCTGTAGAATATCATTGATAATTGATCAATTCAAATTAGGCAAAGAATCCGCTCTCCCAGCAAAGGAGGTTTAGAAAAATGAAACTGAAGAGCTTACATTTTTCCCATTTGTAGTCTGTACGTGGACATCTTTTCCACTTATCCTTGTAACTTCACCATCAATCCACGCCAACTTGGGATCTTCGATCCACACATGAGAACCAACGATTATGTTATCCAGTGCAGCCTGCAAATGAAAAAAAGTTTGCTAAGCGTCTTCCAAGAAACCATTAAAATTACATTTGCCCCACGAAAGGATGGTCCACAATTGTGAGAAAACAATGTAGCAGGCGCCTACATGCTAATGTTACGAATCAAACATGTTTCTTTTCAAGGAAATAAAGGACCACGAACCAGTTCGAGCCTTTCGTATTAACCAATAAAATGCAAAACATTCAAAGGCCAATGTCTTCCACATTCAGAGCTCGACAATGAACTTGCCGAAAACTATTGTTTGTCAGCACCTCATAAACCTGACACTCAAGGGGAAATATGCCATAAAAGAAGAACACAGTTGTCATAATGTCGATCGACCAAATCGGCTCGATCGATCTCTCCACCTCTCTCCATTATCTCTAATGAAAATGAAATTACTGCTGGAACCGATTACAATGCAGTAAGAACAACTGACTTGACAAGCTTTCAGAAATTCACAGTTTGTCAAGGAGGAAAGTCTACAATAGAATCCAAGTCCCCCATAGTCAACAAAAATTCAAACAGAATCAACAAGCTGATACAGAAACCCAAACCAAGGAAGAAGCTTCACACCACAACGAACGCGGGGAACAAATCACGAAATGAAGTCCAAACGCCCGCATGACCAAGTCGAGTAATCATGAAGATGGAATGAACAAAATTAAAAGTTCAAGCTTTCAGCTCTGGAATTTACCATTCGATGACACCAAAGCAACAGATCCCGCTCAACACAATCCTCCAACGCTCATCAAATGGAGAAGACCCAGTTCCTCCAATGGTCCAAAAGGAACCCCCAACAATCAAAAGAACGCAGAGCTTTCAAATTCCCAGCCGAAACCGAAAGCAACCCCACAACCCTCCTTCCCTCCCTCTCTCTTTCTATCTCTTAAAAGAATTTCAAATGAACCTGAAAAACTTAAATACCAACGACTCCTAAACTGTACACAGACTTTACTCTCTCCTTCCCTCTCTATGTTTGAAAGCAAACGACTTTGAAAGACGAAGAAGAAAAGAAAAGGAATTTCCCTGATTCTGTGTCTCTTGAATTTTGAGTTTCTCGCCGCAGCAGCAAGCCCCCTGGTGTTGGTTTCTTTTCTCTTTCTGAGAAGTTCGAAGCTTTGTTGGGTTCCGGATTTGTTGTCCCCACACAAACAAAGCTCTCTTCCTTAAGTTCAGAAACTCGAAATACAAACAATTGGAGTGTTTGGGATTTCATCTGAAATGACTCATTATGTTCTACATAATCTCAAAAGATTAAGCAAGAGGAGTTTACTTCCCCTTCTAGGTGTACCGTCTATTTACGCATACACCCTCGTAGTATGTTGAGGTGTTGTAATCTATCTTTCTTTTATTTTTTCGTTTTTATAAGAACCGAATCAGATCAACACCTATGTCGATAGAACCACTAAATCAGTTACAATAGCTATTCGATTTATTTAATTAGACAGTTATAATGAACCCAACGATTTGTAACGGTTTGACATGAAACCAGTTGAACCACCCTGGTTTGATTGGTCTACTAGTTCCCGATTTCAACCCACAAAAAATTAAGAAAAAAACTACTTAAACTTAAACTGAGATCATCGAAGCTAAAACATTGATTTTGTTTATGAGTGTCACCATGACTAACTTGAATTTAATAACAAAAATTGATTGTTTTTGTGAGATAATTTGAATACTTTGTTATAACTTTTTGGTGATAGATGATATAAATTTGAATTTGCTTATGGTTATGGTTAGTAATAATTTCACTCCTAAATTATTGTACTATATGTGTCTTTTATGTTATAATGCATGAGTGGATCTGTCAAAAGTTAACCAACGATTCTATGACAGTAAACCCTTGAACCATCAACCACTAACTTAAGATCCGGTCAAGTTTCTGAAAAACATTGTTTTTTTTTTCTCTTCCAAATTGAAACATTTTGGGGTGTTGTGATTTAGAAATTTCATATTTGTCCAATTTTATGGTGATGCGAGTATATTATTTGAAGATGTAGATGACATGTAAATAAAATTAAATCTCTGTTATCAGTTAGCTATCATGATCCCAAAGTGGTATTTTAAAGATTTCTAATTTGCTTATATATCATTGGTGAATTTTTAAGAGCATAAATGTTATCGATCTTAAAATTTTACTTTAAGGCGGTTTTCTTGAAAAACAAAGACATACTATATAAATAAGGTAAAATATCTCGGGTGTTAGTGTTGTGGTATATGATCCACGATTGAACCTCTCTCAACAACTCGAGTTATTGGGATCAATTGGTTAATGACATGGTATCAGAGCCTTCTGTGACCGAGAGGTCTTGTGTTTGATTCCCGGTGACCCCCATTTATTAAGCACATGGTATTCTTGTCTTCATACCTATGCAAACTTTAAGCCCTTCTGAGTGGCTTTTGTTTGAGGGGGCGTGTTAGTGTTGTGGTATATGATCCACGATTGAACCTCTCCCAACAACTCGAGTTATTGGGATTAACTGGTTCATGACATCGGGTACCACTTAAATTTGAGAATTGGGGCAGACATGTCACTTAAGTTTGAATAGGGCGTCGGATACCATTAAAGTCGCCAAAAGGTGTATCCGTCTAGTTTTCCATCCAACCCAAAACTTTAATTATCTTTTGGTACCCAAAACTTTTTAAAACATCAAAACCTATATTTCAACAAGTATTATCTAATATAAAAATTAAAAAGCCTTCTAAGTATAGTATTACTAGAATGACTAATGAAATTTGTTCAATAAAATAGATAAATTAGTAAAAATAATAAACGAGTATCAAGAAAAGTAAAAATAATAAAAGAATATCATAAAGGAATAATAAATATACTAGAAGATAATAATAAATATATAAAAACAATATTATAAGATCTATTTAAACCCCTAATACAATTAGAAGTACCACTAAAAACAGTTAAAATAGAACCTAATCGATCATCAATACCAAAGAAGATCTATATAAACTATAAAAGCTATAAATCTAGGAAAAATGACTATAGGAATAGAATCACAATTAGTAAATTTAACTAATATGAAACATACATAATATTAGAGAATTACAAACAGATTTAATATAGAAATTAGACAAGATCGACATGATGTAAGAGAATAAATATAACATCCTCATATTATTTATATCGAGAAAGAATTCATAGGATATATTTACTTAAGAAAATAATTCAATTATTAGAACACATAATGCTAATTGAAAATATTTATAATGATAATTGATTCTAAATTTTTTTATTCAAAAATTGGTTTGGTACAAAACAGAGTTTTCAAAAGATTATTCCGACTAAACAATAAAAAATGATGTTTTTCATAAGTTCAAAGGATTTTTTACAATAACAAAAAGTAGAAGGACCAATTATGAAATTTAGAAAACGAAATATTCCAATAATATTTTGTCAACTTTAACGAAATGCACTTGACAGTAAACTTAAGTGGTACCGGGTGCACATATAATAAAGTTTAGTGGCACGCAATGCCCTATTCTTATTTAAGTGGTATAGCTCCCACAATTCTCATACTTTAGTGGTACCCGAGTTATTTTACCCAACATAAATGCAAACATGACATTCATGATTTGGTCAATAGTAACGAAGGGATTGGATTTAACCTATGATCATATCAGTTTGGCCAATTATAATTACATCATAATCATTGCAATACTTATGTACAAGGAACATAAGTGATATAGGTCGATCTATGATCAAATCTATCAAAAATGCCTATTTGATCCAATGATACCTTTTATATATCTCTTTTATAACCGAACATCAATCTGACACGAAAATTGAACGATTACGTTAACTGTTATATCGACTCAGGAAAAACCTTTGCATTGTTATACCATCAGCATAAAATCGTACATTTTTAATCAATTTGATAATTTTAAAGCTGATACAAGACTTCAGATTATATAAAAGCAGGCGAAGGGCACTCTGGGAATTGATGAAAATTCCCCAAACAGAGCCTTACACGACAAGATAAAAGAGATGGCTTAGTTGTACCCTGCTAAATTTTTTAATTTTAATTAATAAAATTTAAAATACATTTAATTCACTGATTTTCCTAACTCAATTTCACATCTAATCAATTATCGTTTCAATTGGTGAACATAAGGCAAAAGCAAGGAAACATGAATATATACATTGGTAACATACCAAGAAATTAGTAACATACCAAGAAAGAATAATTATTATACGTGGGTTTTTATTAAGGAAAAAGGAAACAAAAGATGAGTGTTCATTCTTCTACAATGATTGTACCTTCGAGGATATAGGCCATTTTACAAGATAAGGTTAGGTATCGTGTTAATAGATTCCTATTCAATTGTTTATACATTTTGTATTTTTTATAGGCAAAATACACTTGTATAGCCATAATTTACACGTTTGTGACAAGTATAGCTATAATTATTCGAAAACACAAAATAGCCAATTTCGTCTATCTCTTTAACGGTGTTACTTAATAATCTAACTAGACTGACGGAATATGTTGAGTTGGCAATTTATGATCCCCACCAACTGACGTGGATTTAAAAAAAACGAAAAAAAAATCATTATTCACCTCATAATTTAGTTTAAAAAGAAAAAATTTGCAATCGGAACAACCTACCTCCTCCCTTCCGTTACCACCTCCACCGCCCATCTTCCTCCTATCGTACATCTTCCTCAATTCAAACTCCACCCTAACTTCTAGATGCTCTCCACCACCACCACTACTGCTCTCCTCTCTCCCTTTCTCGCTAAGCCTTCCCCCATTTATTCAAGATTTTGTTACCGACCCTACCCCGAATTCAGAGAGATCTAGAAATCTATAATCTTTGTCGATTTTGGCAGCCGTAGGAAGTGGTGGGGTAGTCGTTTTTTTTATAATGATGAGAAATAAAATTAATAAGAGAACATAAAAGGTTTGGGGTACAACAAGAGCATCACCAGAAGTGCGCTCAAGGCGAAAAGGGAAAAAAAGGGGAAAAGAAAAAGAGGAATCAAATAGAGACACTACGACTAAGAGTAGTACCAAAGCAAGGAGACCAAGAACAAGGGGTCTCAATCGATGGAACAATAAAACACAGCAAACATGAGCTACAAGAGACAAAAAAAGTCTGCGTCAAGACATGAATTACAGAAGAAAGGCATCAAGCCAGAGTGCGCACTGATTTTTGTCAGCTTTCCCGCGAGCCATCACCCACTCGATGACTGTTTTGGGGATCCGCCGGGCAATGATACTGGGGGAGAGGCTTTTGTGGTTGAAGATACGTCGATTGCGCTCAAGCCACAAATGCCATCAGATGGAATGGAGAAGGCAGAATCAGAACCATCCTTCGATATTATCTGGGGTAGAGAAAGGCCAATTTCGGATGGTTTGAGCTATGTCTTCTAGAACCTGGATGGTATGATTACATCTTCTCCTGATGAAGCTCCACACGAGTTTGGAAAACCTGCAGTCTATGAATAAGTGATATGTTGTCTCCTCCTCCTTCTTACACAGTTCACAGCGGTTTGCCAAGGGCCATCCTCTTCTTTTCAAGATGTCGATAGTCAAGATTCTTTTGTGAAGCAGGGTCCAAATGAAGAAGCAAACTTTGGTTGGCACGACGCTTCTCCAGACTGAGGAGCAAGGGAATTTAGGAACACCCGGAAAAGAATCCGCTATTAGGCATCTGTACATAGAGGAAACAGAGAAGGAAGAATCTGGTTTGGGAACCACCCTGATTCTTGCACTTCAACTTCTTCCCCTGATTCATGTTGCTTCTACTTCTCATCGCTCTCCATGTCTGCTATACTCCATGGCCCCCACTACTGCGATCAGCTCAGCACTACAGAAGCAACTCATCAAAGTAGCATCCGACCACCGTTTGGCCCTCGTCGCCGCCCATCTCTCCTACTTCCATTCCCTTCACGATGTCGGCGCTCCATCCGCAAATTCGTCGACGAGGAGCTCGTTCTAGGCACCTAATATGCTTCCCCTGGATCCCCTGTTCTCACCTTCCTCCCAACAACGACAAATCTAAACCCAGATCCAAATAATCTTCTTCCACAACCTCGATTTCCGATTCCTTCGACAGTGATGACATCTACCACGATAAGACCCAACCCAAGAAGATTAAGAAGAAGAGCAAAAATCACAGCCACGACTTTCACGGGCACGATGAAGATGACGAAGACTGAAAAACAGTCTCCGCAACTAGTGGAGACGGCGAGGGAGCAGAGGGCAGAGCGGGGTGGTAAGTGGAGGAGAGGTAAAGAATTAGGGATTTAGGGGATGGAGAGGAGAGGGAAAGGAGGAGGAAGAGGAAGCAAAGAGAGAGATGGTTGGGGAGGAGAGGGAAAGAGATTTTGGGTAGAACCGTAGAAGATTGTTGCCGGGAAGGAGAGCTAGAAAAAAATATTTTTTTTAATTTCAAAATTAATTATTATTATAACTCAAAATTACGTGGTAATGATATGCTGACTAGTCACTAACGTGTGCGATAATTTGACATCCTAGTTAGGCTAACGTTAACCTAATTGACGGAGTTTCTAACACCATTAAAGTTTCTAACGGAAATGGCTAGATTTGACACATGATCATCCAATTCTTAGACTATTTTGTGTTTTCGGATAGTTATGGCTATGTTTATCACAAACGTGAAAGTTATGACTATACAAGTATATTTTGTCTTTTTTATATTTTAAGCCATACTATATATAGTTGTCTTGCTTTATTTTTGTCACCATATGTTTCAGGCACAAATTTCATGTAATATTTTCCCAAAAAATTTCCTCACATTTGATCTATGTTTCGAGTAATTTTATGAAAGGTTTGTGAACCGTATCGGAGACGGTACCGGAAAAGTCAGCGTTAAGATATTTTTATTGTGAAACTGTGGCTTAACTATAGTTCAACCGTTAATATCACTAAATACCACCTATCGACTATCGGTTTAGCCTCTGATACTAATATTTTGATGTTGAACCACCGGTACGGTACAGTTTCGATGATAATTTTAGATTTTATTTCTTATATACTCTACATTTATTCATGTCTATTGTTTTTTCATTAAACTTTCTTGTAACTAAGGTATAATGTATTTTATCTTTTTGTTTTACGTTGAATATATTTTTATCTTTTTATGGCAAAGAAAAAGAAGAATATATTTTATCTTTTCTTTCTTAAATTATGGGTTATCTCTAGGGTAGGGATGTCAAAAATATCCGTAACCGTGGATATTCGCCCGAACCCGACCTAATCGGGTAGGGTAAAACCCGAACCTGAAAGACATGTAGTGGGTACGGGTAAAACCCGAACCCGAATATTACGGGTAATGGGTGGACATGGGTTTCTCACTATCCAACCCGAACCCCGCCCGATTATACACATACATATGTATTTTGTCTAGAAATAATTATTATTTTTCTCTAACAAATTTTATATTTAGCATATAAATATAATATTTTCATGAAATTGTGTTGTTTTAATTAATTTTCTTCATTCTAGTGAATTATTGTCATACTTTCCCTCTTACGTAATGTGAGAATACATATGAATGTTAACATATTGGTTGGAGTTATGAAGAGAAATCATTATCCATGGATAACCGGGGATACCCGAAACCCGAAAGAGTATGAATATGGTTTTAATTTTCTACCCATTTCACATGCGGGTATGGGTATAACCCGAACTAATTTGGGTAGGGTAACGAATATGAACTACCAAACCTATTGCCATCCCTACTCTAGGGTTAACCAAAAGAATGAAAATATTGCGCCCTTGCGAATACATCGCACAAGTACCGCGGTATTAATAAAATACTACGATATACCGTCAATTATTCGTATTGCCAATTTATCGCATTCGTTTTCAGTTCAAGGACTCGAAACGTTTCTCTTCTTTAGCGTTTTAGGCGGCGGTTTCAAGTCTCCCTCTGCAGTCGGTTGAGTTTCTCAGAGTTTCCCGTCTTCGCGTTTCCGTTTTGCGTTTCGCGTTTCCATTCAGCACTCCAGTGGTTTATAAGTTCAATCTCATGGCTTAAACCCTTTCCAAAAACCGTTCCTCTTCTCCATCAGATCTCCGTTTTTATCATTTCTCTCCCATCTACCAAAAACCCAGCAACCTCACTCTCTCTCACCAATGGCGGCGACTTCATCCGCCCTCTTCAACTCCCCCCACCTCCAGGCCCGCCGCCGCAACCGGATCCCCTCCGGCATCCAATCTCTCAAACCCGCTCCCCATTTCGTCTCAATAGCCAGACCCAGAGCCACCGTTTCCTCTTCCTCCACCTCCGATCCGTCCAATCCGACACCCACCGCCGCCAATCCGACGAAAGGCTCCAGCATCCGCGACGAGGCCCGCCGCCACAACCTCGCTCACCCACAGCCAGCCAACAATTTCTCCGCCAAGTATGTACCTTTCAACGCCGGCGCCAACTCCACCGAGTCATACTCCCTTGACGAGATCGTCTACCGTTCCCAATCCGGTGGCCTGCTCGACGTCCAGCACGACATGGAGGCGCTCAAGGCCTTCCCGGGTTCTTACTGGAAGGCCCTGTTCGATTCCCGCGTCGGGAAGACGACTTGGCCGTACGGATCGGGGGTTTGGTCGAAGAAAGAGTGGGTCTTGCCCGAGATTTCGAGTGACGACATTGTGAGTGCCTTTGAAGGGAACTCGAATCTGTTCTGGGCGGAGAGGTACGGGAAGCAGTTTTTGCAGATGAGTGAGTTGTGGGTCAAGCATTGTGGGATCAGCCACACGGGGAGCTTCAAGGATTTGGGGATGACTGTATTGGTGAGTCAGGTGAACAGGTTGAGGAAGATGAACAAACCGGTGGTCGGGGTTGGATGTGCTTCTACGGGTGATACTTCTGCTGCTCTATCTGCATACTGCGCTTCAGCTGGTATTCCTTCTATCGTGTTTTTGCCTGCTAATAAGATCTCCATGGCTCAGCTGGTTCAGCCGATTGCTAATGGAGCATTTGTGTTGAGCATAGATACAGATTTCGATGGTTGTATGCAACTGATCAGGGAAGTTACAGCTGAATTGCCTATTTACTTGGCTAACTCACTGAACAGTTTGAGGTTAGAAGGACAGAAAACTGCTGCCATTGAAATACTGCAGCAGTTTGATTGGGAAGTCCCTGAATGGGTCATTGTTCCTGGTGGTAACTTGGGCAATATTTATGCATTCTACAAAGGATTCCACATGTGTAAAGAACTAGGGCTTGTTGATAGAATCCCCAGGCTAGTCTGTGCTCAAGCTGCAAATGCAAACCCTCTTTACCTGTACTACAAATCTGGGTGGAAGGATTTCAGCCCTGTGAAGGCCAACAGTACCTTTGCATCCGCTATCCAGATAGGAGATCCGGTTTCAATCGATAGAGCTGTTTATGCTTTGAAGAAGTGTAATGGGATTGTTGAGGAAGCTACGGAGGAGGAACTAATGGATGCTATGGCACAAGCTGACTCTACTGGGATGTTCATTTGTCCTCACACCGGCGTGGCACTGACTGCTTTGATTAAGCTTAGGAATGCTGGGATTATAGGTCCGAACGACCGGACTGTGGTGGTGAGTACTGCACACGGGTTGAAGTTTACGCAGAGCAAGATCGACTATCACTCGCATGATATCAAAGACATGGCTTGTAGGTTTGCTAATCCGCCTGTGAATGTGAGGGCAGATTTCGGGTCTGTAATGGATGTTCTGAAGAAGTATCTGTTGAGTAAATCTCATTAGGGCAGGGTGATTGATGACTAGCTGTCGAGTAGTTTTTGGATGTTGCTTCATTCTCTCCGGCTCGTTGCTTCAGTTTGTTGTTTACTAGACGTTGGGGGCACTTCATCTTTTTAATGAGCATTCATGCAACTTTTGAGGATTTTATGCTCTACTGGCATTGCCATTTTTTTCACACACTGAAAAACTTGGTGCTTTTGAGTATCTAAATAAGTTCTTTTTTCATCTTTGTTTTTTTAGCCATTTTGGACCGTGTTTTGTCTGTTATATCTTTTGATTCGGTTTGCTGACAGATATTTGTATCGATTCGGTTGGTTTGTATTGTCAGCCATTTATCAAGTATGAAGTTGGTCTTGTAGGTATTTGTATCGATTCGGTTTGTATTGTCAGCCATACTTGAGAGGTATTGTCAGTCAGTCCACTATTTATCAAGTATGAAGTTGGTCTTGTAGGTATAAGCCAAGATTCCTCATCATAGAAATGTGTAATTGTTGTTAACTTCCGTGACTGTCTATGTTCAAAATTCTGTACCTTCTTTTTTGTACTCAATCCTCCATTTATGGTACATGAGTATATAGACTCATTTAGATTGGATTATCGGACTCGACTAGTTTTTCTGACCTACTATGTAAAAAGTAGCTTAGTGGCCAAGGCACAGAAGGGACACATGGTCAGACCCAAAAGCTACCCTACCAACACTAGAAAATGCGTGTTCGATATAAATCCGCCAAGCGTAAAACACTTTTCACACCCTCAGCAACTACATTATGAGTAATAGCAGCTCACCCGACCATTCTCCCCATTCTCTAACAAGACCCAAGTCTTCAATCACACTCCGCAAGAGGGTAGAGATGATGACATCTCCAAATGAAATTTATGTTAATGTTTAATAAAGTTATAGTAGAAGTTGAGTTGCTCTGACTTTATAATTTTTTCATTCACTTGAATATAGGGTATCATGTTGATTAGATTTTTAGGCAAAAGAATAATCCTTTTCCTTGGTTATTAGTTCGATAATTGATCAAACAAATTACTTTTTTTTTGTGTTAAACATGATATACATTGTGTGGGGATAGTTTAGTTAGTTTGGTTATAGTATTTGTTCTGATTCTTGGCCTTTGCATCCCTCCTTCTACAACCATATTTCAGACAGCAGAGTTTTCCAGCCCTGCTCAAACAAAACCTAAATATTGTAGGTATAGACATGATGATACCGTGATCATACACAATTGGTTTGTTGTGGATTTTTATTAAAACTTCATTTGTGATTTATTTCCAACACTTTTAGCTCAAGTAACAAGGAATGAGAATCTCTATAAAACAATCAAGGATTGAGAAGAAAGATCAATCTGTGTTATCTAACAAGCTGTTAAATATATAAATCTTCACAAATATTAATTCCCTTCTCTATTACTAACAGCCAGCTTTCCTCATTTCACCCACAAAACTACAGGAAGAAGGGAAGTTATTACAATACTTCACAACAGCAAGACATTCGGTTTAAACATTACTGCCGAAGAAACTACACGAGATTAGCGTCAGGTGAAACGACAATAGCATGCAGTTAAACACAGAACGAACAGACTGTCAATTAATCCCTCACATGGGTAAGTAACAGCTAAACAATCATCCACCAACCCTATAACCTCCAAGGTTATGTACAGTAAACTTGATACGTAGGATGGAGCCAGCAGTCCTATTCTAAATCCCATCAACAGCTACCTAACACATTTTCAGTCACCATCATTGTATTCCAGTAGGTGAATGCAGAGAGAAAGGTTTGATCTTTACCAGCATTGATTCACAACAAAATAACTAGTAAAGCTATCGCCACTGCTATCGTGCATACCAGAGCCTGCAACAATGGGTACACTTGAGGATCAGAAGTCCTATTATGTAAGAAAATAATCCTTGGTATTCTCTTCTCTCGACTTTGGGAACGCGAAAAATGAGAGAGTAGAAATACTGACAGCTATTGCGCATGCAGCGAGACCTGATCTCTCCCTTGGATCCTTGTGATAGTAGCTCCCAAAGTAGAGGATTGTTGATGCGTACCACAGCAATGGGAAGACAAATCCAAGCAAGAAACTGCGTAGAATAAGGCAAAAGTTAACACAAAACCAAACAATTTGAGAGGAGGAAGAGACATTGAGCGTGCTAAAAGGTATGAAAGATGGCTTACGAAAACCATCCGATTCCACAGCCACAAAAAGGAAGGGGCTTGTCGAATATTTCCAGTTCAGGGTCCTCGGGATCTCTTATGTGCACATACTCGCCTATTTTATCGTCCACCAAATCCTTCCCGTGCACTGCTTTCACCAAAACACAAAGGTTGGAAAAATCAAATCTTGTTTAAGCTCGTGCGCCCAAAGCCACAACAGAGGCAAGCCGACCACTTCATTATCACAACCTAAAATGAGCTGTAGTTCTAAGGATGCCATCCCTAATTTCGTGATATCTAAGCTTTCGCCATTGAAAATAGGTGAAAGAACATTCTTCTCAAAAGCCTTGTTCTTTCACTTTCTACTTTCTGGATGATCAATTTGACTTCAAAGGAAAGATCTCTCCTTGTCTAGTAACAAACGTATGCCAAGAATATGGAACTCTAACATACAGGTTCTAAGGCAATCTCAGATCCCTGACAACAACTAAAAACTGAAAATGTATAGGGTATCGGGTATTAGCTATCATCAACATGGCTCAGTGACCTACAACATCGTTGAAATGCATGTATATGGGGATAGCAGTAAGGCAACAAAAAAAAGTGCAAATAATTCAAAGTTCCCCTTAAAATGGAAGCATTGCAGCACAAATGTTACGAAGTACAAAGCAGAAAACATAACAGGAGCACCACACCTCGATCCATATGCCTAAAAATTAACAAGAGGTGGTTCACTTCTCTTCCCTGCCCTGCTTCTGCTGAGGGAATGTGCAGTAGGAAATGGCCCTGTGTCACACAAATCATCCAACAGTTTTCTATGTCAGGACACATGGAGCTTCACTGTCGAGAATTCAGAACAAATTCATATCCTTGCATTTCAAAGGACCCTCAACAAGACCCCTGAAAGTCGGTTCAGTTCCATAAAAACAAAAGATCATTTCACAAAGACCTCCACTAAGGACTGCAGAACGCATACCGGTATCACTACCAGTTAACAGGAGAAGAATGCTATCACCAGAGTAACCCAAGAAGCTCCTTCAAGTCTACTCAGGTAAGAACCAAGACAATTTGAAGTGGTAACAAACTCACAACTCTCTCACACAGAGAGGAATAAGTATAAAAAAAAACTAGCAAAATTATAAGACATTCAGAACACCAGAATCATGGGGTCGGTTATATGGCTATATGAAACTCAGAACCCCAGAATCTATCACCAACGGTGTTGCTTCTAGACAAAAGTTAAACTCCCCTCAACAACAAATACACTTACGAGCCTCAATCAAGAGAAAACAATACGAGAGAAACGCCAAAACTTCCCATATTAGAATACTGTAAACAAGAACATCAACTTAACCAATACTCCAAGTATATAGCATAGCTTAGTAATCAAAACCGGACAACGGATGAAACCACATTTTCATTATATAAAAAGCATACGGCAGCCTGGAGTGCTCACCTTGCTTACAAGTCAGCTGAAGGGCCCCACAACGAACTGGATTGCCAGATTCTTGAGCTACAATAGCAGAAGGAGAATCGATTAAAGATCACTCGGACGCAGTCTGTATATACCCCTTTTGGTGAGTATAGTATACTATCTACAGAAGAAACCCCTCGAAGGAAAAAAAATCGTCTTCAGAACAACTCGAAAAGCAAAGAAACTATCCAATTTTAGAATGCCAAGACAATCGCCAGACACAAAGGTGGGAAATTTGGCGCTCGGAGCAATAGAAAACCCGCAAGTTATCCAAAACCCAGAAGAGAAACAGGGAGAGCGAGCTGAAATACTTTTAACTTACTGGGCAGCAATTCGAAATACCGAAGTTGAAGGTTCCTTTACCCTTTGTCTTGGGCTTGTCGTTTCCCCTTTGTTCGTTCTTTCTGGGTTTTGATTCTGCAAAGATTGCGGCTTTGCCTCTTCGCATGAAGAGCAATAGAAAAGAATGGAACAGGAAGGGCGAGCTGGCGAGTTTGTTGACTCACTGGGAGAGTTGGGATGGGGAGTGGGAACGGTGGAAAAGTTCATCTAGTTACTATATTATGGTACATTTATATGTTAAGTTCTAAATTTTGTAATTGGCTAATTGCATCACTTAAGTTCATGATTGCATTTTAGCTTTAGACATTAGTACGTTCTTAACCAATAAAATTTGATCAATTAAAATCCTCAACTTGTATTACTAATTATATGTGGGACAACACCATCATTAGAGTTAAGTTGTAAGCAATGTTCTAAGCTCATGAGGATTGCGATGATAGATTGAAGATGGATAATATATTGTTACCTTCCGAGACAAATGGGCACCGACAAAGAAACCTACTATACCTTTGGTACGCTTCCCAAACCCTGTTGATTTCCAGAGGGTAGCGTTCTTTATCAAAGAAGGTTTAGGAAAATGGCATGTTCCGAGACTCCAATCTGATTTGAGCCCATGTTTGTTGTCCTTATTCCTAAAATTCTTCTTTCCACGATTTCAATAGAAGGACTCTAGAGTTTGGCATTATACTAGATGGTAGATACATAGTTAAATTTGGCAATCACTTGGCACTAGAAGTATCCTTAGCCTCTAGTCGTAAATCCATGTGACTCACAAATCCCACCTAAACTCAAGTTCTTTATTTGGCAATGTTCCTCGCAACAATGGTGACCCTACAATCCTGAGGAGTCAATTGTCTTATCTGATGTCCTGTTTGTTGGAGGCATCGAGAGAGTACTGAGCACTTGTTCTTTAGACGCCCCTTGGGCACCCAATTGCGTTCTCTTATGGGTTTAAATGTTTTCATTAATTCGACCACGATTGTGAATTTCAGTCACTGGTGTCAACATGTAATGCTTTCTGAACACCCCACAACCCCATATTCTCCAATGCATATGCATTCGTTGGAGAATCTGGAGTCACGTAATAAGTTGGTCTTTGAACATTATCAACTGCATGCACGTTCTCTAGCCCGTCGGTGTTATTTCCAAGTTCTCGAAGTTGCTACCGTTCACTCTCCTCTTCAGCCTCCCGTCCTCGCTTCTCGTCGCCACGTCCTATCTTGTGGGAGCCCCCTCTATTTGGTTACTTGAAGGTAAACTTTGATGCTTATGTCCATGACTCGAATTGCTCGCCTGGCCTAGTTGTTCGAAGGGCATGCATGCATGTCATTTTGGCGGTGGGGGCCAACACCCTGGAGTAGCAGATCCCTACATGGCAGAACTTCTTACAGCAAGAGATGCCATTTTGATTGTCGTCACCAAGAGCTTGTCTCGTGTTATTGTGGAAGGTGATTCTGAAGTAGTCATTATGAAGCTTTGCCATGGAGTTATGATGGATTCTCTATGAGGGCCTGTCCTTCTAGAGTGTCTTGACTTTCTGTTTCTGAGTCTGTTTGTATAAAGTTTAGGGTAGTTCCTAGAGGTGCAAACGGGACTTCTCATAGAGTGGCACGAAAAGTCCTGGTTTTGTCTTTTCTTGAGTTAGTTTCTTTTGACTTTGTAGGGTGCACTGAGGTGTTGTTTGGAGAAGGTTCCTAGATAGCTTTCTTATTTTCTTTCTATCTTGACATTACTTGGTGGAGAAAAGCTGACATAGTTCTAGAGAAGGTTATCTACTTTTTTAAGGTGAATTTTTCATTTTTTATAGTAAACAAAACTTTTATTTCATCAAATTATTGTCAGTACAAGATCTATACTACCCAATGTTGTTCATCAACAAGCTTATATTCAAACAATTGCAAGAAAGAAAGACTTCATTACACAAAAACAAAGCAAAGCCTATCAATGATAGTATTCCATACCAACAAGGCTTAGCCTTCATAGCCTATGAAATTTCAAGACTTCATGCCCTTAAAAGCTCTAACACATCTCCCGTTGTGTAAACAAGCTCTTTAACCTCTGGTTTCTTCCTTCCATGAACTCTGCTACCTCTATCGAGAGCTAATGACAAGATTATGGACAAGTCTACCTATCTTGAAGTCATTGAAACACCTTAAAACTTCTTATTATCCTTCCTGCCAACCGCCAATGGTGAGTATCACTAAGAAGCATGTCAAACCTCCTTCTAAACCTGATTAACATACATATAATTGAAGAAGATGTGGTATCTAGATTCCTTATCCCATTAACCTTGTACCTTGGCATAAGTACTTTGTCCCATGTCACCACCCCATGCTTTGTAGATTTGAGGTAACCAACCACCTTCCCTCTTAGTTTTAGAATTTTGTTCCAAGGCATGAGTTTGTTGTTCTTGTCTCATATATAGCCTATACTCCTTTAGGCAGGCAATGCACAAGGAATCGTAATCATATAAAACTTTTCAAATGTGTCTCGCCAAGCATGCTTGATTCAAACTATTTAGATCTTTAAAACTAGTCCCCTCTTCTTCTCCAGGTAAAGGTCCTATTTCCCAATTCACCTATTTTCTTATTTTGAACAGCATCGCCCCAAAGGAAATCAGAGTAGAGTTTCTCTATGGCTATGAGTACTTTCTTTGGTGGTTGAAAATACTCATCCAGTACTGAGTCACATTGATAAGTTGCAACTTCTCTACATGAAAAATCTAAGAAGCGGAAGAAAGATAACACGACACAATCGATTTACGTGGTATTCCCGTTCTGTTGAACGGGACTAATCCACGGAGAAGGAAAACCCTTCTCAGTCACTTTCTTATTCACGGCTCAAGTTACAGCGGCTGTAAAACAAGAATATATATACAACCCTAATAGTACCAATCACCTAGGGTTGACGTAGGAGCAAAAGGAAGTGAAACACCCAAACTGCCCCTACACATGCACGTAGAACCTTTTACTACATATGTTAGTAGCTTAGGTTGCCATCCCTGAGTTTGTTTGGTGATATTGTCAACTAAGGTTGCACATTTAGCAGAGTTTAGCTTCATAGCTATTAGAGGTCTGGGGTTTATCCATTAGATATAATGGTGTATATATATATGGTAATGACCCAGCTATTAGAGGTCAGGGGTTTATCCATTAGATATAATGGTATATATATATGGTAATGACTGGTATATTTCAGGAGTACACCAGTCTGACATATATATATATACACTATGAATTAAACAAAGTTTGAGGTATGATACTATACCCTAACATCTAATGGATAAAAACTAGACCCCAATTCTCGAAATCCAAACCTGAAGTTCAATTTAATAAAAAACAATAATTGATCGTTGATATTGGTATGAGCCCATCGAAGTAGATCTAATGACCAGATCACCTGGAGTATACTATACTCTTCATGTACTCGTAGTGAGATATCTCTATCTAGACCATGAATTAAACTGCAATTAATTAGAGCTTGGGGCATGATACTATAACATAACCTCTAATGGGTGAACCCAGTCCCTAATTCTCTAACCCAAGCCACAAGATTCATTTAATCTAAAAAATGATAACTGACGGTTCTGATTCAATGAAATATATTAAAGTGCAAAAACCAAGTGTGAACATAGACGTACGTTAACCTTTACCACATGTATATATATTTACTCCCCATTGGCTAACTACATATGTATAGACTTCTAACTTAAGAAATGTTCTTCTACCTTTTCTAGTTAAATGAGTTGGACCATACACCCCCTGCTAAGCTTCAAATCTATCAAGGACGTCGCTCTCCAAGACCTCCATTTCAACGTAAACTAAGTCCATCCGACCTCAATCACGGATTTTACTATACTTCATTTTTTTCATTTCTCGACCTCATTATTAACTTGAATTTGAAATAAAAATAAAGACTAATTCCACTAGGAAGTCCAAACTATTCAAAAAGTGTAATTTGTGTCATAAAATATTCAATATGACAAATCTGGCACGAACTGTTTTTCTATAATGTTAACCGGCGTTGACCGTTAGTATTTAACAGAAAATCTAGCCAACATCTATGTGGGTTTGTGCCAGATTTGTCATAATTGAATAGTTTAGGATACAAATGTCACAAAACGCACATAGTTTGTGTCAAATTTGTCATACTAAATAGTTTAGGACACAAATGACACTTTTATAATAGTTTGGGCTTCCTAGTGGAATTAACCCTGCAAATTATGATTATTTTGTGAGATAGTTTGAATGCTTTGTTAGAATTTTTTGCTGACAAATTATATGAATTTGAAATTGTTTATGGTTAGTGATAAATTCACTCTTACATTAGTGTATTATATATGTCCTTTATGTTATTAGCACATGGATGATTCTATCAACGTTTAACCGTTGAACCATCAACCACTACTTTTCCGGTTTAGCATCCGGTCCGAAAAACATTGCTCATAACCATGGTTGTCGCACCAGCTAGCATGCCACAGGTTGAACCACCGGTACCTGTCATGAAACCCGTGTGAACACCACCGGTATGACTGCCATGATCGATTTACGAAATCTCCAAATAAAATAACATCATTTTAGTGAATTTAATTAATAAAAATTAATTTATCATTTATTTTATGAGTTTTAAAAGTTAAATGTTGTTATTTGTTGGATTCAAATATAAAGGTTCGTTTGGTTTTGGTGATTATTTGGTTGGGATAGTTACAATGCATGTATTGTCCATAATGCTTTGGTTTTTTTTTTTAATTTTCTACACAAACAATATATACATTGTTTGCTTGAAATGACACAAACTATCACTCAAAATTAGTGATAGTTAAATCTCAAATTTTTGGTGAGATTGTTGAGATTGTTTGAGTGGGATTCTTGAGTATTTTTTTTCTTCCAACTATGTCCTTACCTTTTTATGTGTGTTGCTTTCTTATATAAAAAACAAAGGATAAAAGTGACATTTCACCCAAAAAGTAATATAACTTATTGAAGTACTACAATAAGTCAATAACTATCACATAAACCAAACGTTGTAAACTACAATATACCGATTTTCTTATATACATATATATTATTATGCATGCATTGATGACAATGCATCACTTTAACTATCAACAAAACCAAACGACCCCAAATATTTAGGTATTGACTTACGAGTATTTGTAATTTTATTTGGATTGATGCATTTTATTTAAATATCAATATGAATGGTAAGTAAATTGTCTTCAAATATGATTTATATCTTGTTAAATTAATTCAATATTAATGAATTTTCCATATTTCTACATACTTTGTTAACCGACATGATTCTACACAAACCGATTATACTACCACCGATAGAACCATTTTAATTGGTAAACTTACACTATACTATATATATTATATAGTATAAAGTAGAAACCAAAAGGCAAAATACACATGTATAGCCAAAACTTTGACGATTTTGTCAATAATAACCACTTTCTGAGAAATACACAAAATAGCCACTTCCGTCCAATTCTTTAACGGTGTCATCTAACTAGCTGACTGGACTAATAAAAATGCTGACTTGGCGACCTTTGACTAATAACAAGTTGAGGTGGAATTAGCTGAAAAATAAAAATAAATTAATCAATCCATTTTTATTTTCTCTCACCCTTCCCACCCCTCTCTCTCGTACTTCCCGTCGCCAGCTCCACAGCAGTAGAGCCGCCGCACAGCCACCGAAAACCCATTTTCCCAGCTCCACTTTGTACACAATCCCTAACCCGCTCTTCCCCAATACATAAGTCGATGCCCTTAACAGCTCGTCCAGTTCAAAATTAAACCCTTTGTCCATCAAGACCAGATCCTCTTCTCCCGATTCCACTCCTTCCATGTCGCCGCTTGCGCCGCTTCCACCTCGACTGGGTTGGTGTTTTTCTTGTTCTAGTGAATCGTTGACAGGAAAACAAGGTGGAAATCAGAGAGGTATAAAACACACCTTATCAAATGCATGAGAATGGGAGTGGAGTTTAGAATGAGATTTCTTGGAGTGTGGAGCCCTGGCCAGCTTTCTAGCGGGATCAGGATCAAGCTCGGGTTTGAAAATGGTTTCGTTTTCATATTTGGGTTTGAGGGAGTTGCTTTTAAAGAAGAAGAATGTGATGAGAGCTCCGAGAAGTACAATAGGGAGAAGAGCGTCCATTTCGAGCAAAAAGGATCAGAAACTGAACCACAGTCGATTGTAGAGAATCCGCAAGCGGTTTCGTTGTCAAATTGAAATTGGAACCGAAGGCGAAAGAGTGGTGATTCTAATTTTTGCTACTATGGACTTGTAGAGATACTGCCGCCGTCTACGGCTGAAGGCTGAAAGGAAGGCTGGTGCTTGTTTCCTACAAAGGGTCCACAGGGGAAGGGAAAGGGTCTGCTGAGGAAGACGAAGAGGCATAAATGATTTTGTTTGATTTTTTATTTTTTTGTGATTATATTTTTTATTAAAATATGACGTGTCCAAGTTGTCAGTGACGTGTCGAGTGAGCTGGCAGTCCAATAAACGTATCGTTAAAATAACTAACGGTGTTAGTAACGCCGTTAAAGTTTGTAACGAAAATGGCTATATTTGTCATTAAACTTTCAAAAGTCTGGCTATTTTTGATATTTCTCCAAAAGTGGCTATTATTGTTACAAACGTTAAAGTTTTGGCTACATAGATGAATTTTGCCAAACCAAAACGTTGCTCATAAGTCATAACTCATAACGAGCCTCCATCTGCCACTCCACAATTAGGGTTTTGCCCCCCGTCCCTCCATTGCCCTCCACTTTGGTCAGTTTATCGGCTCCGACGTCCGAAATAATCTTCTCCAACACCCTAGGGTTGCTGCTCTCTGCTGTTCTTATATAACTCGAGATTTCCTGTCAATTCTCCCCGGCAGGTCTGTTGGAATTTCATCTGCCATGGGCACTCTGGTTGAATCGCAGCAGCACTCCGAAAGTTCGAAAAAGAAGAAGACGAGAAGCAGAGATAAAGAGATAGCCGAAGATGCTGATGCCACCGCCGCGCATCTCCAGAACGATGGCGACGACGACGGAGCTCGGCCGCGGACTATGAATGTGAAAATCGAGCTGATTCCCGAACATCCCGACCGAACTTCTCCTGTAGTGGGGTACTTCCCATCCGGGTACAACCCTCTTCGCGACGGCGATGGTGACCAATCGGTGTTGCCTTCAGTCAATCTGTACAGAAATGTCCAGAGGAAGAAGGTAGATGCAGGTGTGGGTGATAAGGCTCCGAGCCGGAGAGGTCCAGAGAGGATGGAGCTGGTGGTGACCCCTGAGGGAGGATCGAAGGTGGATTTTGTGGGAACAAGCTATAAAGGCGAGGCGAGTAATGCTCAATTGGCTACTTATGCGCTTGGGGTTCTGGATAAAGAGACTCAGACTCTGAAGATTATGCCCATTGCTGGAAATAAGGTATTATTGGTTTGGTTTCTTGTTGAGCTTTTATTGATGTTTAGTGAAGAACTGGGGAAGAGAAAGGACACACCTTTTTGGCTAACGCTGTCAGTTAGTTTGGATTTTCATTGATGGAGTTGATTGAGGCCTTGAATGTGGAAACAGATATTCAGATTGGATGTGAGACGCCGAGTGCATGATAGGGTCGCCAATGTGGATGAACCAACGACGGACAATCCCGAGCTCTCTGCACAAGAACAGGCAGCCAAGAAGAGAGTGCTTGCTGCTCACTTCGGAACTAAGCAGGCTGTGGCCAGGGTAAGCTTACTCTTGTGTGCAATATATCATTTTCGATTCACATGATGAATGAGTTATGCTGGGCACATGCTTAACACTTTTGTGGAGAATGTCTGTTTAGGAAGTACATGACAGTTTAGCAACTTGGGGATTGTCGGTTTAACTTCGTTGTGCAATGATAGATGTATGTCGATTGGATCTCTAGTCAGTGTTCGCAGAGAGCTAGACTACTGTGGAAATAGGTCTTGTTATTAACATATTTGAATGAACTAACTTGTTACTTCTTCGAGGGACTTTGCATTGAGAAACTCTCTGTATTTTGATATTAGTTCCATTATGCTTGAAGCAGATATCATGTGAACCTGATATCTTTTTATCTTTGTAGGATAAGAAGATGCATGTTACAACCGGGATCGGGGAATCCGAGGTCGATTTGGAGAATCACGCAGACATCTTCCCAGTAAACAAGGACGCTACAGTCACTACTGCTGTCGACATGGCTCGAAACATCCCTCCACATAATTGTTCAGCCACCACGCCTAAGGAAGCGTATCCATTGGACAGGATTATTTCCTCCAGAGAGTGGGAGTTCCTCAGGGACTTTGAGAAGATCAACCTGCAAGGCGGCGAAGAAGGATTTGAGACTTATCCATTATTTGTTCGCAATAGGATCCATAAGCTGCGCCGAGTTCAGGTAAACTGCGGAAACCAATAATACTTTAGTGAATGAGACTTTAGTTGCTATATGGCATGTGATTCGAAGCTCTGGCCTCAATTCTCACTATCACTGCTCTGTTATCTTTTTCCACTCCTGCTCTAGGATGACGAGGAGAGGAGAACTCTCTCAGGTATTCTATGCTACATAACCCACCTCATCAAGTACAAAGACTTGCAATCCATGGACACTGCGGAGTCAGCAAAGAGTCATCGGTTCCCTGACGTTGTGAGGCTGAAGTTCAAGGACATGTTCGATTCAGAAACCAAAAGGCCATCAGGTGACAAGATGAATCTGCTGATCAGTTACGTTATTGTCCTGACTTTGCACTTCGATGGTTTCCAGACGGAAACTGCTGATATAACGAAGGATCTAAGACAGAATCCGATCGCGATGAGGACACATTTCGAGAACTTGGGATGCAAGAGTGCGACCGTGAAAAAGGTGCGGGTAATGACGCTCCCTGTTCCCATTCAGTTCCCGGTCGCTAGAAGGAAACGAAGAGGGCGTGGCTAAGACAGATAACGCCGAGAATGTGGAATTGAATTGCTGGTTGGATGTTGGTTGGTTGCAAGTGTTATTTTGTGTCTGTCTTTTGAAGTTATAACTATGCAGAATTCTGCTTTCCTTTATGGAAAACCAGTTTTGATCAATGCTCCCCCTAGTGTTACATTTACTTTTTCTTCTTCTTTTCCTCGACTTGCTATCACTTGCGTACGGGTTGATGGATACTCTCTGGTAACTATTGATGGGGGGCAATGGGCTGGTTTGGAGCGGGTATTACCAAAATTAATATGAAATGTCAAACCGTAAATCAACTATCGGAAACAAAACAACTATGAAATACCGTTTGATGAGATTAGTATAAGAATAGCGCAAGAATATGAATTTCGTCGATAACAAAATTACACAAAATCCAACTAGCAGCACAAAGAATAGGAATTTTGTATCGTCATTCTAATGACAATATCATTCAACTATAATGATAAGATGAATTTGCATTTTAAAAAGACAAAAAAAATGTCAAGTCGGTACCTTACACAAATACTCAACAACAAAAACAACAGAGGCGATTTGTCAGTGGGTGTTCGAGGGAGGCCCATGGCATTATCGCAATAACCTACTGTGTCTGCGTCGCTGGGTTCCGGGGATTAGGGCATTGGAGATTGACAATTCAGCGATTCCGATTTGGGTTCAGCTGTCGGGGCTTCCTGCTGAGCTCTCCTCGAAGGAAGGCCTGGGTCGAGTTGCTAGCGGAATTGGGAAACCTCTGTGGATGGATCAGCCTACAACGAGAAGGATCAGAGTGGGATGTGCTAAGGTTTGTGTTGAGGTGAGTGCTAAAAGCAAATTAGTTGACAAGATTAGCATCAAACCTGATGATATGGAAGAGATGTTTGTGAAGGTTGAGTACTGTCGATTACCTCCGAGGTGCGAGACTTGTGGGCTATTTGGGCATGATTGTGCAAAACCTAGTGGTCCTACTAAGAGAGTATGGAGGAAGAAGGCAGTTGTGGTGGCTGAGATTGCTGAGCAAGAGATTGAGAGTATGGTAGTAGCAGTGGAGCAGCCTGGAAGTGGGGAGGGACAGGAGGAGCAACAGAGGGTGGAATCAACTCCACCAGTCACTCCTAGTACTCTCCCGTCACATGAGGAGTTTAGCAAGGTTATCAACGGGGTTAAATCACCAAAGGTGTGGAAAAATCTGCAGGAAGTGAGCCAATCAAATGCATTTGAGATCTTGGCGCAGAAGGAGGTTCAGTTGCAGTTCCCACCTCTCCGGAGGGAGGGTCTGAGAAGTCAGAAAGGAGCTGATAAGGCTCCTAAAGTCTCATGATCCTTACTTGGAATACGAGGGGGTTTAATGCCCCTCACAAGCACAATGCAGTGCTTGATATACTTAGTAGGAGTAGAATTAAACTGTTTGCTTTGCTAGAGACTAGAGTAAAAAAGGAAAAGTCTGAGAAAATTAAAGAAAAGTTCAGTAACTACCATATTGAGGATAACTATGGGTGTCATCCGCTGGGAAGAGTTTGGTTAGCATGGGATATTGAAGTGAAGGGTACTATTCTCTGTACTGATGCGAACTTTATTCATGCACTGGTTTCCATTTCCCCTGGTGTTCGTTTCTTCTTTACTGCGGTTTATGCTTCCAATGATGAGGTAGAGCGAGCAGCTACTTATTTGAGACTGAGTAGATGGAGAGTTAGGGGTTTCCCATGGATAGTATGTGGTGACTTCAACGCTATTATCAATCCTTTTGAAGCGTCTAATGGTGTGCCGATTAATTCAAGTATGATAGCATTTCGAGATTGGATAACAGATATGGAGCTGGTGGATCATCAGGCTTCGGGTTCATTCTTTACTTGGACTAATCAGCAGAGTGGGAATCCGATTGCAAGGAAGCTGGATAGAATGTTGATCAATGAAGATTGGCTCGATAAATTTCCTGATAGTGTGGCTGAGTTTCTCAGCCCATCTTTCTCGGACCATTGTGGGATGCCGGTGACACCTTGTCGTTCGCGAAAATGTTTTCCAAAGCCGTTCAGATTCTTTGAGATGTGGATGCAGCATCCTTCCTACGAGAAAATAGTGAGTGATGTTTGGGGTCAGCAGCTGCAAGGTACAGCCTTACAGAGGATTAAGAGGAAATTCTATGTTCTGAAATTGGAGCTTAAGAGTTTAAACAGGCAGGAATACATGAACATTAGTGACAGGGTAAAGGAGGCCAGTTCTAACCTTGGGATAGCTCAAGCACAGGCTTTAGATTTACCAAGTGCCGACACATTTGACAGGATGAGAGTTCTCACTGAGGAGTTGCAGAGATTGAGGACTGCTGAGGAAAGCTTTTACAAACAAAAATCGTGCATAAATTGGCTCACTCTGGGAGATATGAATTCGGGTTTTTTCCATAGAGCAGTGAAGATCAGGCAGGCTCGCAAACAATTGAGAAGACTAATTACTAGTTCAGGAGTGGAAATTACTAGTGAGCAAGGCATAGCAGATGAAGCAGTGGGGTTTTATGAGCAATTATACAGCGTGGTGAATCCTGAAGTAAAGCCTGACTCGACATTCATTGGTTCTCTTATTAATAAAAGCTTAAGTGAAGGTAGTAAAGCATTGCTATGTGCTGAAGTATCGAGAGAAGAAGTAAGAGCTGCTCTATTTGATATGAGTCCCCTAAAGGCGCCTGGTCCTGATGGGTGGACTACGGGTTTCTTTCAGAAGCATTGGGGGCTGATTAGTGGTGATATCTGTGAGGGAATTCAAGAGTTCTTCAGAACTAAGACCTTACCTCGAGGTATGAACACTGCTTCTCTCACCCTAGCTCCTAAAACGTTAAATGCTGACAGAATGACTGCTTTTCGTCCTATTGCTTGCATCAATGTGATATATAAAATCATTGCTAAGGTGCTGGCAAATAGGATTCAGGTTGCACTCCCCGAGGTGATTAGTAAGAATCAGTCTGCGTTTGTAAAAGGAAGGAGTATTCTAGATAATATATTAATGGCGCAGGAAATAGTGCAGAATTACAATAAAACAAGAATATCTTCTCGATGTGCGGTGAAAATTGATCTTCACAAGGCTTTTGATTCGGTTAATTGGGAGTATTTAGTCTGTATGATGAGGCATATGGGTTTCCCGACTGTGTTTATTGAGTGGATACAGGGTTGTCTTGGTTCTGCTTTCTTCAGTATCAGCTTGTATGGTTCTTTGTTTGGTTTCTTTCAAGCTAAGAAAGGTGTTAGGCAGGGGGACCCTCTTTCCCCCTACCTCTTCACTATAGCCATTGAACCACTATCGAGAATGTTGGATGTTGCTGCCAGCTCTAAACGTATTCCTTATCACCCTCAGTGTCGATCAATAGGTTTGACGCACCTTTGCTTTGCGGATGACCTATTGATTTTCACTGAGGGGTCAGCAGCTGCTTTGGTACAGATTAAGAGTTTGTTAAATGATTTCTATCTGCTATCGGGCTTGAGATGTAATCCTCAGAAGTGTGAGGTTTTCTTTGGAGGGCAAGCACACTTATTTAAGGCGAATGCTATTGAGTTGTCTGGATTTGCAGAAGGACATTTGCCTGTGAGATACTTAGGGCTCCCGTTAATTGCTGGTTGGTTGTCAACTAGGGAGTGTGAAGTGTTGGTGGACAAGTTAACGAGTAGAATTCGTTCATGGAAAGCTAGTAAGCTTTCTTATGCGGGAAGACTTCAACTGATCTCATCGGTGTTGTACTCTTTGGTGCAATACTGGATGAACATTTTCATTTTGCCTAAAAAGGTTTTAGACCTTATTCACAAGATTTGTTCAGACTTCTTATGGCATGGGGAAGGTACAGGGAGAGCGAAGGTGGCTTGGGATTTGGTTGCTCTTCCTAAACGAGAAGGAGGTATGGGTTTGAAAGATCTAGGAAGTTGGAACATGGCATGCATGGCTAGGTTGTTGTGGCTTATCTTGCTGCAAAGCGGTAGTTTCTGGGTTGCTTGGCTGCAGCAGCACAGGCTGAAGGGTAGATCCATCTGGAATCTGCCTCAATCTCAGTCTGGTTCGTGGATTTGGAGGAAGCTTCTCAAATCTAGAAGCTGGTTCCAGTTTAGATTAGACACTGATGCAGAAGGCAGAGTCCTCTGGGAAGGAAGCCCGATGCCAAGATTCGTGGTGCAGAAGATTTGGGACTCAATCAGGCCTAGAGGCGCTCGTGTGGAGTGGTGGAAGCTGTTATGGAATAAACATGTTATTCCAAGAAGCAGGGTGGTAGCTTGGTTAATAATTTTGAACAGGATTACTACGCGGGACAAGCTTAAGCAATGGGGCAAACTATCTGATTCTGTGTGTGTTTTGTGTCAGGCAGAGGAAGAAACTCGAAGCCACTTATTCTGCAGGTGTACTTATGCGTTGGCTTTCTATGCAGTAGTTTTTGATGTGCACAGGTGGCCGAATGACTGGGACAGCCTCTTGAGTTGGTTATGTCGAAGATGCAATAGAGAAGGCAGCAATGGACTAATTTGGAGTGCGATCTGGTGCTGGTGTGTGAGTGTTATTTGGAAGGAGCGGTGTGCTCGGATGTACAGAGATGAGCAGCGATCGGTGGAGGAGACAAAGAGGCGATGGGTTGCTGATTTTAATCTTTTTGTGATGGGAAGACCGGATTTCCGGTTAGAAATTTTGAAGATTCCCCAATTGAGTAGCCTACTATATGCAGTAGAGGTAGTTTAAGAGTGGTTTCTGTTTATGGTTTGTAAACAGATTTTAGAGCATTTGGCTCTTTGTTTTTTGAGGGTCCTGTTTTATCAGGCTGAGCTGAATAAAAGTTTCGATAATTACCGGGAAAAAAAACAAACTAATTAGTTTCAATAAACTTTTGCCCAAATTAAATTTAGAAATAGCAACATAGGCAAAAAGTAAAAACCATATAACTAATAATTGTTACATGAACTTATCTATCTGTCACACAATTGTCACCTCTATCTCCGTAAAAACCTTTCTGTTTCGATCCCACACAACATTTTTCCTTATACCCTATTTAGCTCATAAAACTTCCAACCAAAATCCCCATTAGAAACTCTTGTTCTTTGTTTGATTCCTTAGAAGGAAAAAAAAAACAAGCTCTGAACTTTTTTTGTTCTTTTTGCCCCCAGGCTAAGGCCTGGTTTATGGTTT